CAGTACCAAAGTGTGTGAGCTGGTTACTGCACTCACTAAGACAAATTGTTTGGGGGAATTTAACAATTAAGCCAAAAGGAAGTGGAGCTGACAGATATTATTGGTGCCTGATTAGACAAGTAGGCTCTTGGAATGCTTAAGACATAACTAATAAAGCTGGTATGCAGTGGGATTAAGAATAGCACTGTTCTTTTCCAGTGTTTAATTTTTTATATTAAAAAACTGGATCAGTGATAAACATAAGAGCTTTGTGAGAACTATAAAGCTGGGCTGTAACAGGCAATCCTGTAGGAAATCAGTGACAGGAAAATATGGGGTAATTGTGTTTGCAATGGAAAGGTTAATTAAAATGTGTTTCAGATTTATATAGCCTTTTTTCAGTGTCCAAAGCCTTTCTCCTACAACAATCCTTACAAAAACTCTGTAGGACCTGTAGGTCAGTAGAATGATCCTGAGATTGTAGATGCGAGCCCTTCTGAGCAGCTTGAATAAGGACATCTAGTTTCAGTGCAGACAAAACACTGGCAAACTATGGTACACAAATCAGGAACCAGCTTCAGGAACGTACAATGCCTCCCTTTCTTTCCTTCCTTCCTTCCTTCCTTCCTTCCTTATCTAGGGTACATTTTCTTTTCCTTCCCTTGTTATCCACCTGTAGTTGAGGTATGCATTTTCACCAGGCTTAACCAACATGGTGGTCTCCAAATCTTTGGATCACAGCTCCCATCAACCCCAGCCAGAATGGTCAAGGGCAAGGGATTATAGCAATTAACTAGGTTTCTTCTTAACCATGGTCTGTAAATCTGCCTCAAACTCTAGTTTCACATGAGAACATAAGCAAATGGTTAAGACGGGAATCTCATTTAATATTAATTATAGCTAAGACTACTGATGGCTCCTTGGTTTTGTCTCCTCTTCCCATGGCTGGGTCCACTATGAATAATTTCTAGAGCTGAGAAACTGCTTGCCTAAGGATGAGTAAAGAAACGAAAGTTTAATCCAGACAAGATGGAGATGTTGATGGTTGAACTGGAGATGGAAGATGAACCTGTTCCCAGTAAGGCCACATTCCCTCTTAGTGAGCAGGTTCAGAGCTTGGCAATAGCTCTGGTCCCAGTGTTTTTGCTAAACATCCAGGCCTTGTTATGGACAAAGTACATCTTTTCCATCCACCAATTGAGTGACTTGTCCCCCTTTCGGTAGGCAAGTGATTAAGGGAACAATCCTACCTCCCGGCCAGGGAGCAGCAAGACAGAACAGGACACCATCTGTATTACATTAGTGCCTTTGCTCACCAGGGCAGAAGAGGAGGGAAATATTGCACTTAATTTTCACTGTACAAGCTCTAGGCTAATGCAGAAGAGAGGTGTAGTCTGGACTCCTCTCTGGCTGAACTCCCATCATGCCCAGCAGCTGTGGCCAATGGCCAGGGATGATGGGAACTGTGTTTCAGCAATATCTGGCAAGCCAAAGGTTCCTTGCCCCTGTTTTAATCGGAAAAAGCAGTTTGACAATGGAACCATTTACTTGGGTGGCATAGTCTCTCACTTGCTAGAGGTCTTCAGGCAGAGACTGAACAGCCATCAGTTGGGTATGTTATCCCTATAGATCTCCTACATCAAGGAGGAGTGTGGATTATCAGACCTAAAAGTCATCCTCCATATCTGTGGTTTTATTTTATTTTATAATAATTTTGATTAGTTTTCACTTACAATCCAATAATAGCCTCATTATAACAATACCAATTTATGATGCAATTCTTAATACCAGTAGTTCAAATACCGCAATATCTGCGGTTTTAAGACAGCTTGGAAACTTTTACTGGTCTGGAAGATCACCTGGAGCTAGTAGCTGCCTAACAGGAGCAGAAGCATTTCAATGGTGCATCTCTGCTATGGAGCTGCCTTCACAATAAGAACTGACAGGCCAATTCAGATGACTAATTGGCAAATATTCTGTAGCTATTGAGTTTGCTGACATTAGTATGCTGCTGCTGCTGCCTCCCTGTATATTAACTAGTCCTACTAAATTGAAATGTTTCATCCCACTTACTGTGGTTTTTAGATTTTTGATTTTTATAAGCCACTTTCAGGCTTTTATGGGGAAAAGAGGCAGGGCATTGACTTACATTTAAATAAATAAATGCCTGGCTACAAAGCTAGCCTGTGATTAAAGCTGATTAAAGTGTGATGGGATATGTGCTGAAGAGGAAAGGGAGCTTTATTCCCAAGACGGGTTCATGGTTGCAAGCCGTAGTTTACAGAGATCCAGTGTTACATCTACAGAAGGCACTGGTAAGCCTCTGGCAGAGGCAAGTTATTTGAACTCAGGCTCTATGCCAGGGGCAGCCAGATGTTGTTGTGAGTGACCTCCAGATGTTGTTGTACCCCCATCATCCATGGCCATTGGCTACTCTGGCTGGGGCTGTTGGGAGTTGTAGTTCAAGAACACCTGAAAGGCACCACATTGGCCACACCTGCTTTAAACTTTCCATCTTCACTTGCACTCAAGACCGGTGCTATAGCTGTACAATATGACTCAAGCCATGTTGCTTCTATGTACCTGGACAAAGAAGCAAAGCTCACTTTTCGGCTGCTGCCCTGTCCCTCGGCAACAGGTTCCGTGTTGCTTTTGTTGAAAGAGAGAAAACGGAAGGTGCCTTGAGGCTGAAAGTTGTCCGTGATTGCATGAAGAGTGGGTGTTGAGTTGGTGATCTTGACAGCAACCAACAATAGTTAAGTGGATGAATAGCCATTTCTTATTGCTGGTGGGCAATCTGCAAACCAAAGTAAAACAGATACCATTGGAGGGGAGGTAATTCAGCCAGTTCTTCACAGTAACTGTAAAAGTGAGTGATTATTTTTTGCTAATGGTTTGTTTCTATGAACTGCCTCGCCAACCCACCAGACTTGTGTTGAGGGCCCCAGACAGGAGGGGAATTGTAATTCGTACCTATGTACAGTGTACACACTTTGTGATACATGAGCTGAATCCTTCAGCGCAAAAGAATTTTGGTCCATAATCCTGTTATTACAAGTGAAGGTTACAGGCCTAATTCCCTTTACGGAAACATTTTGAGACTGAAATTCACTTTGGCTCCAATTTAATATGTTCAGCTTTTGTTCAGTCTTATTAGCCAGTTGAAACTTGAAGGATACAAGGCTAGTCTTTCCTGTGGCTTCCATCTGCAGAGTGCCACACTGAAATTGAGATGTGTTCCCGTCCCCCACGCAATCTCTATACCACTACATATATATATGTATAAAAGCAACAACCAACAACTTAAAGAACCATAAATATTACAGAAATACATTTAACATATAAAAGCATTGCATTAATACATTGCTGATACAAATAGCCCCCCCCCCCTCTGCTCATCATTCTTTACCCGGCCTCTGCCTGCTTCTCCTCCAGTTTCTTTACCACCCCATGGGCAGAGTTTGCTTTTATGGGCAGGCAGCAAGCTGGGTGGTGTTTCCTCAGGTTGCCCACTCCTGTGCCTCCTTAGAGGCAGCTGCACTCTCCGCACCCAGCTCTGGGTGCAGTGGGTTTGGTGAGTTTCCCAGGGGGTCCCGAGAGTGGGAAAAGGACAGCCCTCTGCTCACAGTTCTTTCTCAAGCCTCTGTCCCTTGAGAAGACCGGAAGGGCTAGTGGTACTGTCAGATGTTCATCACACATGAAGGGAAACAAAGGCAAAATGGCCCAGATTCAGAATTTCTCATTTTGGGATCTAGGACTATTGAATCCCCTTCCTTGTGTGTTGGTCACCACAGAGATTGGCTATTTCCCTACAAGGTTTCCTATCTGGCCCCCATTTCCAAGGAGGAAGGCATCTACAGCAAGCATAGAGGAAAGCTTTCAGCTTGAGGGCCACATTTCTTTCTGGACAACCCTTTTGGGGCCCATGTGATGGGTGGGGCCAGAGGCAAAAGCAGGCAGAGCAATGAATGTGGATGCTTCTTTGTACAACAGGCTGGTTTCTAAACACTCCCACCCCCATGCAGGCAAGCAAGATTCTTTATCAAAATTCAAGGACACGTTCTAGCCAGGCGAAAAAATTCAAGGAGGGGGCAAAGTAAGGATGGTGGAGGATGTGACCTGTGGGGAGGGAGTGTGGCTTGGGAGGGTTGTGACTGGGGAGAGTCTTGAGAAGAGGGAGAGGCCTGGAGAGCCACATGTTGCCCCCAAGCCTGAGCTTCCCCATCTCTGACCACTAGCCATGAACACCAGAACACAAGCCGTGACTTATTTAATGAACTCCAGTGTCTTTAGCAAACTCAAGTATTTAATGAAGTCCAGTAACAGGAGCTTTGGTCCTCTCCTCATTGTGCACCTCAGCCATGTGCTTTTATTTGCTCATCTTTGCTTCTTCATCTGCCCTTGCTAAGATTCACACTTGGAGGAAACAGTCAAAACAGTCTCTGTCTTTGCCACAGTAAGTGGCTAGGGTGCACAGTCGCGCAGGGGCCCTTGGGAACGCAAAATATGCTGAGGGTTGGGTTGCACTCCTGATTATGTGTAGCTCTAGACTCTATCCACCATGAGACTGAACTAGGGTGTGGCTTTGGTCTGCTGTGTTGCCTACCCACACCAGAAACAAAACTATTTTGAGCCTCCTTCACCCCACTTTGCCACTTTTATAGCACATAAACTGGGATGGCTGTTTCTGTTGGAAGTAGCATCATGTTAATTTTTTCCATCTTCCGAAGCGGACTCCCCCGGCAACTTCAACCACTAAACGATCTTCCACGCGAAACATTTCCTCCACATTTGTGGTTGGTTACGCTATTCTGTTTAATTATATGGTTGCCCAAAGGTTTCCATGAAGATGGGATGCTCCGTTGCAGACCTGGAATCGTGAGTCAGAGGGAAGCCCCGCTCTCATCCCACTTCTGACAGAATTAGAAAGTGTGCATGGATCAAATAGGAAATGACTGCTGAATTCGTCCCAAAGTAAATGAGGATGCATTTATTTCCCCCCTCTTTTTTCCTTTCTGCAGATGAAGAACTATTTTCAGGGATGTACATTGATTTCATGGGGACTGACGCTGCCATTTTCCGCAGTTTAACCAGACGGAATGCTGTGAGGACCGACCAACACAATTCCAAATGGCTGAGTGGTAAGAGGCTTTGAGGTTTTGAGTTTCATTGTTGTGCATGTTGCAGCATGTAAGTGGTGACATGGAAATGCTTTTATAAACAGATAAATAAGCTTGGTTGGCTTTTCTGCAAACAGAACTACAAATCACAAGAGATTAATTTGGCACATTTGACAAATTAATTAGCAAATTTGACAAGTTTCAATATATACAATTTTTCAAATGGATCATCAGACTATATCAGGCATGTGATTTGTCATCCATAGTATTTGATCTGCTGTCCAACACTATGTATTCATGTCTTTTTACACATTTCTGTTCAGGTGACGTGTAATCTGCAATGTGGTTTGTGTGACAAGCCAAACTCCAAGGTAGTACTCTTGAAACTAAGTAACACTTTTCAAATTTCTTGGATTTCAAAGTTAAGATTTAAGTCTATTTTGCAATGTGCCTCACTCAATCAAATAATCTATCAATTTACACAAGAGAAAGTAAACTTTGCATAATTAATAATTTCTCAGACAAAAATAGCACCAGATGCTTGGAATACGTATCTTGAAGCAAACCTTTTCTCCAGGACTCTTGAGTTTGACTCGATAAATTTATTAATAATTGACATGCAGGTAACAAATCAGACTTTTGGAATATACACTCCCCACAGCTCACAGCAGGCAATAGCTGTATGACCACAGAGAGTCCCATTTTGTTGCAGGCTTCTGCAGAGTTGGTCTGTGGTGTAGATACTTGCTCTCCATGGTGCATGTCTTTGTGTCATTTCAGAGCCTGTGTTTGTGGATGCCCACCTCATCCCAGATGGCACTGACCCCAACGACGCTAAAGTCTACTTCTTTTTCAAGGAGAAACTGACGGACAACAGTGGCAGCACCAAGCAGATCCACTCTATGATTGCTAGAATATGCCCGGTAAGCAGGGAGTGGTGTAGGAAGGACAGCTGTCAATACCCTGTGCCTGGTTTTGCAAAGTGTTCCTGCGGTGGAGTAGTTGCCTAAGTCAGCAAAATTATTCTGCTCGAGTCTATATTTACCGCGAGCTTCTGTTTAGCATTATTGACTTGCCTGATCGCTTCTCCCTTGCATAAATAGATATGATGTTTCAACAGAAGGGGGGAGCAGCATCCAAATACATCTCTGGAAATGGCTGGAATTAGATACAGTTCTGTGCTTTCCTTTAGGAAGGAAGGCAGGAATGAGTCTATTTTACTTCAAACTGTATGAGAGGAAAGTGCTCTTGTGCTCAGGTCCTTTTTGTGGATTTCCCACAGGTATCTAGTGGATTAATTACTGTGAAAACATGATGCTGGATTAGATGGGCCATTGGTCTTATCCAGTAAACTCATCTTTGGTTCTTAATCCCAGCTAGTTGCATGAGGCCCAGGGCCTGCTGGCTCTAAGCAAGTATTGATGATATTGTAGGGTCCTTCTTCTGGGCAGCAAATGTGCATGAAGGCGCCTTCCACTGCTACTGTTCGCCTGGGATCACAGTAGGTGGCAGGTGACAAGGCGGCTCAAGCATGACATGGCCTCCCTCTCCAAAACACATGAAAACAGCTATTCCCTTCATCAAACTGCATTGTAATAGGAAAGCTTTCAACATCACAAATCTCCTTGGTACAAACAGTTTCCCTAGTACATGGTCTAAATGGTTGGTGAGTTGGGTCTTTTCATTTTCATGGTAGGGCTGAGCAATGGAAAAGGCCTGTTGCGCTTTTATCTGGTTCTTCTTCGTTGTTGCTGCTGTTGTTGTTGCTGTGAAGGCACCCAGAGGCAGAAAACACTAAATATTATTAAACATTATTGTCATAATGAAACCCAGATGACTTGCTAAAAGTCCCGGGGCACAATTCCACTTGCATTTGTCTATGCCAAAACTTGCAAAACCAAGCTTCAAAAGAACATGGGATGGATGTGTGTGATGCTCTGTATCTGATGACCTTACTAGAAGTCAGCAACAGGAATTTTTTGTAATGCGCTCTAAGTGGGGCTACCTTTGAAGGTGACCCGGAAACTACAACTAATCCAGAATGCGGCAGCTAGACTGGTCATTGGGAGCGGCCGCCGAGACCATATAACACCGGTCTTGAAAGACCTACATTGGCTCCCAGTACGTTTCCGAGCACAATTCAAAGTGTTGGTGCTGATCTTTAAAGCGCTAAACGGCCTCGGCCCAGTATACCTGAAGGAGTGTCTCTACCCCCATCATTCAGCCCAGACATTGAGGTCCAGCACCGAGGGTTTGACCAGACTGCGGGGGGTAGTGGAGGATAGGGGTGCCTGGCGTGCTCTGGTCCATGGGGTCACGAAGAGTCGGACACGACTAAACGACTAAACAACAACAACAACACCGAAAGCCTTCTGGTGGTTCCCTCACTGCGAGAAGCCAAGTTACAGGGAACCAGGCAGAGGGCCTTCTCAGTTGTGGCGCCTGCCCTGTGGAACGCCCTCCCACCAGATGTCAAAGAGAAAAAATAACTAGCAAACTTTTAGAAGACATCTGAAAGCAGCCCTGTTTAGGGAAGCTTTTAATGTTTAATAGGTTATTGTATTTTAGTGTTTTGTTGGAAGCCGCTCAGAGTGGCTGGGGAATAAATACTAAATTATTATTATTATTAGGGTTGGACAGGGTCTAATGCTCCCTATTAGAATGAAAAGAATGGTTTCTGCACTGTGGCCTGCTAGGTACATATGCTCCTTTCATTTCAGTTGACTGTTCTGCACATTGAACAGCAGAACCATTTGCAACGCCTTCTCTTGGACTGTGCCACAACAGACTGCTGATGGGTATTATATATTTGAACGCTCTTCCATGAGGGACAGCAACCCTGTCTGCAAATGGAAATGGGGTACCATAAGAGAGAAGACTTAGGCATGCTAGTGTTGCTTTTCTTCCACTCTGACATGCTATTTTCCTATATTTTGTAGGCAGGTGTTTTAGCATGCAGCCCACCCACCAGCAGCCAGATATGGTTCAGTCCAGGAAACTGCACCACATAATCTGCATTGGCTGGTAGCAACCTCATAATATAACTTCCACCTTTAATTTGTTTCTTTGTTCAATGCAAATATGTTGTGCATTCATAATGCAATTCTACACCATAGATGGTGAGGTCTCTTCAGTGGTGGAAGGATCTGATATTCTGATTAGTGTCCTGATTGTGCAGTTTGGGCAGGAAAAATGAGAAGCTTTTAAAGTCCAAATGCTAATTGAAAGTAGGGATGGGAAAGAAAATTGATTCCACTCACAGTAAGAGGTAAACACAGAACCGAAACACAGTCATCTTTTGAAATTCACACTTCTCCAGATTTAGCAAAGCAGTTCTTCAGCCAAGTAATATGTACAAAAATTCATGTGTGGTGATATATACGTGTGGTGAAAAAGATTGCTTTGCAAAAATGCATGTTTTAGGAGAAATTGACAGTAAAATGCTGGTGTATTTTCATGCATTCTTTTTTTTTTTTTTAAAAAAAAGCACCTCACTAACTAATGTTAAAAGTGCTAGTAGATGTCTGTGTAGTTTTTGGAGTTAGTAAGTGGTTTATTCTCTGCTCCCCCCACCCCCAGAATGACACTGGTGGACAACGCAGCCTTGTGAACAAGTGGACAACTTATTTGAAAGCAAGACTTGTGTGTTCAGTAATGGATGACGATGGCACAGAAACCTACTTTGATGAATTAGGTACAATTTATTATTTCCTGCTTAGTTGTTGTGGCCAAAACCTCTACGTGGTTTGCAAAGCATGTGAAATATGTATTAAAATTGTCAATGAAAGTCAGTGCTAAAATCAGAATCAAAACATGAACAAAATCAGCCATTATACAGTGGTGCCCCGCAAGACGAATGCCTCGCAAGATGGAAAACCCGCTAGATGAAAGGGTTTTCCGTTTTGGAGGTGCTTCGCAAGACGAATTTCCCTATGGGCTTGCTTCGCAAGACGAAAATGTCTTGCGAGTCTTGCCATTTTTTTTTCGCTCCCCCCCCTTTTTCTAAGCCACTAAGCCGCTAATAGCCTTTTAGCAGCTCAGCCGCTAAGCCTTTAATAGCCGCTAAACCGCTAATAGCGCTAATCCGCTTAGCCGCTAATGGGGTTGCTTCGCAAGACGAAAAAACCGCTAGACGAAGAGAATCGTGGAACGGATTCTTTTCGTCTTGCGAGGCACCACTGTAATACACATTATAAGCTAAAATGACAGATTCAGATACATCCACATTACAGGCTAAAGTATATAATTGTCGCAATTTCTAAACAGAAAAAATATTTTCCCCTCTAATTTCCCTCTAATTTTTGCATTTGGACTGAGGTGCCTTCAGGAGCATAGAGCAAGTGATGTCCTCAGGGCAGTCAGGGATTGGGGGTCATCCATTTGAAACTTGCACCAATTTGGTTATCATATAAGCTACATACACTTTTAAACATTTTCCTCCTCCTTCCATCAGACAGACTATCTTGTCAGTGACATAATAAAAGTATTGTGCAACATGGGTTTGTAGCCTAAACAAAAAATTCCATTGGCTTCAGATGGAATAAGTTCAGGGTATGCATGGTGCAGTTTGGAAATCACACGCAGATATATTCAGCCTCTGTTTTGCTTCTTTCCCACAGAGGATGTGTTCCTGCTAGAAACAGATAACCCCAGAACAACGCTGATATATGGCATTTTCACAACATCCAGGTAATCTTGCACGTTTGTGAAAGAAAATCCACAGATTAAATATTACGCCTGAGAGAAGTTGTGGTGAGGCGATTCCCATGTTTTACACGAAGGAATGGGTGGGGGTTTTATGTAACATGGCAAGCAAATGTTTCCAATACTGCCGTAATTTAAATTATCATGGAATTGTTGTTGTTGTTTAGTCGTTTAGTCGTGTCCGACTCTTCGTGACCCCATGGACCAGAGCACGCCAGGCACTCCTGTCTTCCACTGCCTCCCTCATGCTGGTAGCTTAGAGAACACTGTCCCACCATCTCGTCCTCTGTCATCCCCTTCTCCTTGTGCCCTCCATCTTTCCCAACATCAGGGTGTTTTCCAGGGAGTCTTCTCTTCTCATGAGGTGGCCAAAGTATTGGAGTCTCAGCTTCAGGATCTGTCCTTCCAGTGAGCACTCAGGGCTGATTTCCTTCAGAATGGAGAGGTTTGATCTTCTTGCAGTCCATGGGACTTGCAAGAGTCTCCTCCAGCACCATACCGTAATTCAAAAGCATCAATTCTTTGGCGATCAGCCTTCTTTATGGTCCAGCTCTCACTTCCATACATCACTACTGGGAAAACCACAGCTTTAACTAAAAGCTTTAACTACGGTATAGCTTTTATCATGGAATAGCAGCACCCAAAGGCTTTCTGTACAATAAAGCTGCATCCTGACATCGAAGGTGGTGGTCTGATTGCCCTAGGCCAGGGATGGAGGACCTTTTCCAGCCCCAGGACTGTATTTTATCATGCGCTAACTTCTGGGGACCACAGGGCCTGAGGCAATGGGGGGTAGAGCAAGAGATGCAGCAAAGAGAAGAGTGGGAAGCACAGACCCCTCGACCACACAGTGGGTGGCATTGCAGCCATGAAAAAAGTGAGAGCTTTCTGCACACACAACTCTCCAAGCTTCTTATGAGGTTTCCCCCTGAAACCATCCATCGTACGTTCTCTCTGGTCCAGTCACACGATACTGGAGCAGCATTTCAACCTTTTCCATGTGTCTAGTCCCACGTGCTCCAGCGACGTCTCTAAATAGGCATTGGGTCAGATAAGTGGCTTCCACACATTTGTTAACTGGAAGACACTTTTGTCTGCCATCTTCTCATTGCTTTTCATGAATGTCGTTCTAAATTGGAGATGAACCTTTCCCTACCTTCTTACCTGTTGTTCTGTGTCAGCCAACACTGTAGCTGTTTTGTTGACGACAGAGAACAGTTAGTTATCTCCCAGTGGTGTGATATATAACCTATAATTTAAATTCTAACTCACTCTGTCCCTTGGGCTCAAAAAATACTGTAAGGCACTTCACTGTCAAAAGACAAATCAAATTGAAAGGACTCCCCCCCTCCCAACCGCCCAATGCTTTAACAACTCAATTTTCATTGAGGTTGGTTTGTACTGTCTGTGTGTGTACTGAATAATCTGAAACTGTTCCCTGTCTAGGCACATCACCAAATTACATTGGTAGCATGCATTTTCAGTTGTCATCAGACTAATAAATATGATAATTTTCTTTCTTTCTTAATTGCTTGGCAATCAAAAAGGTATCATTTAAGCAGCTGAGCCGCCTTTTTTTCTTTTGAGCTACTGTCAACAGTGAAAGAATAAAGTTTACCAGCAGGAGTAGAGGCAGGGGGATGGGGGGGGGCAGAAAGACCACAGTTATGATTACATACGCAGTATGTGTGAGCTAGAAATTGGTTTGCCTAATGCATATGGTGAAGTGGAAAATGGGTTAGGCTCAGGCAGGCCATATAAGGTGGTAAGCAAGGGAGCACTGACTCTATTCCAGGCCCTGGAGACATTTCCTGTCCTGCGTGCAGGAGTTTATGCTGCTGTATGTTTCTTTCTCCACAAGACCCTAAGGATCTCTCTCTCTCTATCACACACACACACCCCATTCCAAACATGCAGTATAATTAAAACTAAAGGTCTTAATGGATTTCATTTGGCAGCAGAGCTATTTTATTTTCAACCTCTGCATGCTCCAAACAGCAGATACATGTTAGAACACAGGATTGTAATTAGTTTTAATTGAATCCTGTGTTTCTGTGGGTGTTTCTGAAATGAATCAGGTTTTTTTGTGCTGAAGAAAACATAATAAATTCAACATAGGGTGCATAGCCTGAAGTGATTAATGCATTTTGTACCTGATTTATGCTCACACTTATGTGAGCAGCGAAACAGTGATTTTAGGACAACAGATCCTGGTACATTGTTCCTTGGAACCCACATGCGACGTAGAATCAGATTTGCTCATCTTGCAAGATTCAGAGAGGGAAGGGAAGGGTCAGTAAGCTGAAAACTTTAATATCAGATTAGAACCTGATGTAAGGTTTGTACGGCACTGAAATGCAGGATATAGTTCGGTGTCTGGTAAATATTCTGCCTTTCTGAGCCCATGTTGAGATACTATGCCAAGGCTTGCATTATTGTAATCATTACATACCTAGTGTAATATCACTCCTGTTTGCAGTTTAGGTTCCTGCATCCAAATGCAAACCCCACATGCACACATCCATCAGGAGGCCACGTCTCAAATCCCACGTGGAAAGCAGGATACAGCTTAAGAAATTGTTCAGTTGGTGTGTCTGCCATTTTCTCTCCATTCCAGTGAGGGAGCTACATCCAGGCACAGAGGGGAAAGGTTGTTTGGCTCAAGGACCCCATTCCTTTGGGGGGCAAACTTCTGCAGGCTACATGCCAGGGGCAGGTTGGGAGAGACACAAAAGTAGGTGAAGCAGTGAATATAAATTTTACCAAAATTCCCAAGGTGGGGGACCTCAGGCCCAGGAACGGAATGAGGGCCCCCAGGCCTCTCCGGTTGCTCACCTTTATCCTCCCCCCAACCCAAGGAAAACCCTCATCAGCTCTATTTTGCAGCCTCCTTGAGTCTTTTATTTCTGGCTGGAATGTGCCCTTGAACTCTGCTCATGGCTCTTCCTTGCCTGGGTGGAGAACAGAGAGAGGTGTGTGAGTGCATGTGGAATCTAGGCTAAGGTAAAATTCATTGCTCCCCCCGTTTTGCCTGGTGCCATAGGCGCCGACCCCATGGGGCTTGAGGGGGCTCGAGCCCCCTCAAAAATTTTTTTGGGGGGGCTCAGCCCCCCCAATAATCTCGGGCGCCGGGGGTGGGGGCTCCTGCCTCGCTGCTTCGCAGCACCACCGCCACTGCCAAGGCACTGCCGGGGGGAATTTCCTTCCTCCTGGCGGTTTCAGCCCCCGCGAGAACAGGGGAATCCCGACTGGCCACACCTCCCAGCCAGCCAATCGGCTGGCTGGGGGGGCGTGGCTTGCCCTATTTAGGGCCGGAGCCACTTTATTTGCATATTCATGATCTTATTTATTATTCATGAGCTTTCCCGGGCCCCCCCAATATTTTTTATAAGTTCGCGTCCCTGCCTGGTGCCCCACAGCACTCCAGAAGGCTGCCCAGAAGGGAGGGTGGCCCTCAGGTTGACCCAATTGTACCACCTCGGCTGTAGACAGCAGGTTCGTTTCTGCATCAGGGAGCCATGTGCCCTGGGGAGAAGTGTATGTGGTAGTGGTGGTGGGGCGGTTGTGGAGGGTTGACAGGCCCCACTGGGCTCCTGAGCCTGGGGTACGCCCAGCTTCACTGTCATGTCTTCATCCAAAGCAATATTCAAAATTACAGAGCAGAAAACCTTTGTTGGAGAACCCTTGCCTGGCAAAGAATTATACTTCCAGGGGTCTCTGGAGCAAGTTAATAACTATTAAACAAATTTCAGTCTTTAACATAGGCATGCCCTAGTGATCACTGGTTAATTTCCTTTGGAGAGTGTTCCCTTAGTTTCCATCTTCAGCTGTAATTTCCTTTCTCACTACCCCCCACCCCTGCGCTCAGTTTTAGAGTTTCAGTTCTTGTTATAAATCCTTTCATTTCAGGCTGAGTTTATTGCAAATAAAAGGCAGGTCAGCTCTCACACTTCTCATGCTTGACCAGACTCCCAGAAATGCTTTTCGTTGTTGTCGTTTTAAATGTTGTTTTTAGTTGTTTGTTTCTTTTTCTTTTTGGTTCTCACATAAGAAAGTGCAGGCAATGTACATTCCTATTGCTTTTTCCTGTCTATTCCAACATAAGCCTAGGATCCATCTGCTTTCATGTGCACAACATAATGGTAGCGCCATTTGTGTTTAAGTGCATCGTATATTACTTGGCTTTTTAGGCACCTTATTAAAAGCTCTTTTATCTCACATGTAGGATGTTAACAGCCTTCCATTTCACGTCTGCTTGTTTGGTTCCAGCTAGGCTGCACTTTAGGCCAAACCCTGTTTTTGTGAACGCAACAGCCCTCTTCAAATACATCCAGTGGACACAGTAGATCTGCAAAGAAGCTAGTGGGTTCGGACCCGCTGGTCATACCCACTCTGAAACCGTTCATTCAGAAGTAATAACTGAAGAGGAAGCCTTCTGAATCTGGCCAAATGCTCATCTAATTCAGCATCCTTTTCTCACAGTAGCCAACCAGAAGCCTATAGGAAGCCCACAAGCAAGACCTGAGTGAGACAGCAGTCTCCTCACTTGTGGTCCTCAGCAACTGGCCTCTGCCTGCAGAGGTAGAACATAGTAGTGTGAAGGAACCCAAGGTGTATACATGGGCATTGGTCTCTGTCACATGAGTGGGAAGCTTAGTTGGCCTGGCTGGGCCATGTCCTACTGTCACCAATGCATGTATGTGTGTTGGTAGAGAGCCATTGAGATGGTTCCTTTGAGCACTTATTTCTGCAGCACTTTTACAACATTCCTCCTTAAGGATTGTATTGAGAGGCATCCAGAGAAGCTGATTGGCAGCCAGTTTAGCACAGACAAAATAAGCAGCTCTTCACACAGAGAGAAAATTGGTAATTCTTACAGCAGTTGTACCGCAATTTGCAAGGATGGCCTCTCACGCAGGTGGCTTTAGAAAAGGAACTGTCCATTTCACGATGGATCTGCCTGTCAATGACTATCAACTAGGATAGCTAAATGGAGCCGCCTAACTCAAAGGGTCTTGCTCTTCTGAATGCCCAGTTATGGCACCAGCACCTTGATACAGAGCAGCTACTCATGTCACACACTGTGAGAGGACTGGCGTTTGCAATCATTTGCACTTGCTTGTCGGCAAGACAGCTTCCTGCCACCTCCGATCCTTAGCTGCTCCACAAGGCATGAAGAGGCCACTTCCAGAAACACAAATTGCCCTCCTTAAGAGGCAGACTTTCCTGCCACTTCCATCTGCCCACATGTTCTGCCTCCAGGTCTAACACATTATTCCTTGGACTAAAGAGGGAATTTCTGTAATGTGCAGCCACTTCACTGCTTTAGGTCTCTGTAGGCCCATCAACACTATGGGAGCAATTATATTCCTCTCTGCGGGGGCCAATTTCCATTCAATTTGTGAAAGACGTTTTTTAGCCCCTCCACGCAGCTTCATGCCGTACTATGTAAAATTTGATTAATGTTTAGAAAAGCAAAGTGGCTACAAGTGAAGAAACACTGCCAGCCAAATGCACATTCTGTTTCCGCATTCTGTTGGCAGCATTTCCCATAAAATTTGAAGAAGGACTCACACTGAGCATTTACACATTGTACAGCATGGACATATTCATGCTTCAGTGGTGGTACAGAGAAGGGAATATTTGGGTGGTAAGGAAGATATAATGTAAATTTGGGAGGGCAAGGTCTTACATCTTAAACTGTCTTACCAAACATAAATATCTATGTGTTTTACATTTAAACTCCAGTCTCAAATGCACTTACTCCCAACTCAATATCACTGATTTTATTAACGTCTAGAACCACCAAGTGGCATGAGATTTGCATCTAATCATTCAGAGTGCAGCCTTAATTAAATTCTAATTTGCTTAAGTGTAGTTGCTTTTTTTAAAAAAAAAACTTTGTTGTAGTGTTTAGCTTCAAGCTGCCATGATAAGCATTTCAGCAGATATATTTGCATAAACTGGAGAATGAAGATTAAACAGGATGCATCAAAAACATGGTGGGAATCCTTCTGCAGTCCAAGATTGCATCCTTTAACTCTGTAATCAACCTGGGAAAACTAATTACCACTTTAATGAGGCCCATTTACCTCTTAGCCATTCTGTGTGCAGACATTTGGAAGCAACTGAAAAGTCAGGGGTTTCTATTACTCTGTGTTCTTTCAGGTCTCCTTTTGGGTTCTTGTGTTTTCCAGCCTCGGCTTTAATTTAATCTATTTCAGAAAAATTGGGGGGAAATGAAAAAATATATATTATTTTTTACCAAGATCGACATTTCATTAATCTTATTTAGAATTTACTTATCCCTGTTTCTAATTAAAGCGGCTGTCAATAGTCAATAGAAATGTAATACTTCAGAGCATTCAAAGTATTTCCTCATAATCTTCTTTATCCTTACAACAATCCTGTATGGATCTTGCATCTACCACAAAGTCACTAGGTGGCCTTAGGCAAGATGCTTTCCCTCAGTCTCAATCCTTCGCATGGGGATAATAATGCTGACTTACCTTAAAGGGTTGTTGTAAGAATTACAACTCAATAGTGCTGGCGAAGGGCTTTGGACACTTGAAAAACACAAAAAAATGTTGTCATTGTTTTGTTGTTTTGTTAATTTTTTATTAGGTAATTCAATAATAATAATTTATTATTTATACCCCTCCCATCTGGCTGAGTTTCCCCAGCCACTCTGGGCGGCTCCCAATCGAGTGTTAAAAACAATACTGTGTTACATATTTAAAACTTCCCTTAAGATGTCTTCTGAATGTCAGGTAGTTGTTTATCTCTTTGATATCTGATGGGAGGGCATTCCACAGGGCGGGCGCCACTACCAAGAAGGCCCTCTGCCTGGTTCCCTGTAGCTTTGCTTCTCGCAATGAGGGAACCGCCAGAAGGCCCTCGGTGCTGGATTTCTGTGTCCGGGCTGAATGATGGGGGTGGAGACGCTCTTAAAACATCTTAAATATCTTAAAATAAACATATCATCATTATTTTTTCCCTCATTTCCCCCCCTCCCCCCTTCCTCCCATAAACAACCTGCCACCACCCCCCTGACTTCCTCAGTTCCAGTCTCTGGTTTCTCTATGAATGCTATTCTCTGCATGTTACAGAATTGCATAAGTCCTTAATTTATCTAACTTATTATTATCAATAAAAAAATTTGTGAGTGTTTATTCAAAGCCGGCCAAGGAGTCCAATTCACTTTGTTGTGTCTTTAGATACTTGGTAAAAGGTTCCCATTCCTCTTTAAAGTCACAGTTATCCCTGTCCTGTAGTTTATGTGTCAATTTTGCCAGTTCTGCATAGTCCATCAGTTTCTCTTGCCATAATTCTTTAGTCGGGATTTCCTCAGTCTTCCCATCCTTGTGCTATTAAGACTCTCACCGCTGTTGTCGCATACATGAAGATGTTCCTTGGGTTTCTACAATCCCTAACAAAAATGCTTCAGGTTTTTTAACAAATGTTAGATGGAACATTTTTCCTCAATTCATTGTATATCATTTCCCAAAATTTCTTAATTTCATTACAATCCACCAATGGTAAAATGTTCCCCTCCTTTTTCTTACACTTCCAACATAAATTTGAACTGGTTTTGTACATTTTCCCAAACTGCACTGGTGTCGTATACCATCTATACATCATCGTCATATAATTTTCTTTCAGCAAAGAACAATCTGTAAATTTTAAATCAATTTTCCATAACCTTTCCCAATCTTCCAAAAATGTTGTTATTTTTAATTCCAATATTGCAAGTGGAGCTGTTGACTTCATAACATCATCTAGTTCAATCTCTCAAAAGTGCAGTCCTATACATGACTGCTCGGGAGTAAGTTCCCTTGCGTTCAACCTAATATACCCACATAAGTGGGCATAGCAGCCTTTGCCAACCTGGTGCCCTCCAGATGTATTGGACTACCACTCTCACCAGCGCCAGCCAGAGTCAGCACAGCTCAAACTGATGGGCGTTAGAATCACAGCAACTGGAGTGCCCTAGGTTGGATGAAGCTGTGGTGCTGGATCACAGCATTAGCTTCATGGTTCTATCATCTGCTAAAGAACTTCTCCCAACAGAATTTGAAAGTGACTCTGCACTTAGACAGTGGGATGTCTTCAGGAACATTTATTACAGAATCAGTGACCAGTAAAAAACATTTTCAAAAAACCCAGTCTAATTCACTGCAAGGCTGGACCACCCATTCTTTAGTTCCTCAAAAGACTGACCTATCACAGTCTTGAGCAAAATAAAATAAAATATTGTGCAGTCAAGAGGAGACACCACAATGGTATGACATGGTGCTGCCTTTAGATACAGAATGCAGTGCAGAATACAAAAACAGTAGAAAGCAAGAGTGGCAGACTTGGGGCTTGTGGGATGATGATGATGATTATATAACCTTGAGATCCACCAATGGGAGCTGGGTGCAAAAGATATACTTTTAGAATTAAATAATTTTTAATCCAGGCAGTTGAGTACCAGAGCGGAATGCCAGAATGTAGCTCACAGCCTTCCACTCCAGGTTCTCCAAAGCCTTCTTTATTTCTTTCTAATTTGGCCAGGAAAGAGTCATTTTGTGGCTGCTACTAGGAGCCAGAAATCCTTGCCAGCCTACAGTAAGTCACCTCAGGACCTTTGAGGCGTCCGAGAGCTACCTTCGGCCGCCCCAGTTTAAATACTTCATTTTGCAACTGTTCCCGCATTGCAGAGGGTTGGACTTGATGACTTCCAACTCTACGAATCTGTGATTCTGTAAGCAAGCTAGAATGATTTTGTGTGCACAATAACAAGCAGGTAGCATGAACAGATTTTTGTTTGTTTCTTTTTCTTCCGCAGCTCTGTATTTAAAGGTTCAGCAGTCTGTGTGTATCACTTGTCTGATATCCAGAGAGTGTTCAATGGGCCGTTTGCACACAAGGAAGGGCCAAACCACCAGCTGATTCCCTATCAGGGAAGAATTCCTTATCCACGACCTGGGACTGTAAGTACTCATCTAAACAAGGTTTTACAAGTCCAACTTGCCTTTGTGTTATCTTTATCAGCCTTAGGCATGATCCTAAGCATCGCTTTGGTCTGTTCCCGGACTGCTCCCTTCGGTTTTATTTCATTTGGCCACATTTCAGAAGGCATGTGGACAAATTGGCCAGGATTAAGAGGCAGTAAAGCTGATAAAAGGAAGCTGTGGGTGATTTTGACAGAATTGGGGAAGTGGATAGCTCTGCAGTGTGTTTAGCCTAGAGAGAAGATAGCTGTTTTTAAAAGACAGTCATCTACAGCATGGCTAGGCAAACTAAGGCCTGGGGGCCGGATCCGGCCCATTGCCTTCTAAATCTGGCCCACGGACGGTCTGGGAATCAGCATGTTTTTACATGAGTAGAATATGTCCTTTTATTTAAAATGCATCTCTGAGTTATTTGTGGGGCCTGTCTGGTGTTTCTACATGAGTAAAATGTGTGCTTTTATTTAAAATGCACCTCTGGGTTATTTGTGGGACATAGGAATTCGTTCTTTTTTTCCTCTTCAAAATATAGTCTAGTCCCCCCACAAGGTCTGAGGGACCGTGGACCAGCCCCCTGCTGAAAAGTTTTCTGACCCCTGATAAAGGGAAGGAGAACAATTTACCGCATATTCCTCAGCACTAAGAGATGAAAACCACTGAGCCTAGGCTATGGCAACATGACTTTTAAGTTGTTAGAAAGATGTTAATCTGTAAGAACATTAACTAATGGAAGTGACTTATCTAGGGAAGTTTCATTTATTTATTAGATTTTTATCCCACCCTTCTGCCTAAAGGAGCCTGGGGCTGCAATCAGCACTATGTTCAAACTGTACAATTTAAAGTCAAATAAAAACCTATTTAAAACATTGAAGAATGTTTAAAAATCATTTAAAAGTTCTGGAATCACTTAGGAAAAGGTGGGCTATCTGTCTGTGGCAAGGCTGAAAGAAAAGATAAAATAGATAAGGGGGAGGAACTGAGACAATTTTCTTGTGGTACTCTATGATTTCAAGCTGATTTATTGCAAGGGGGAACCTTCTTCAGCCTGAGAGCCACGGTACCTTCTGTTTAACCTTATGAGGGCAGCTCCATCAGTGGCAGTCAGCGGCCAGAGGCAAAAGTGGACAATGAAGGCCCGTGTCCCCTTTTTACAGTGGGATAGTTTCTGCATGCAATCACACACAGCCTCTCTGTCCTGTATCCAAGCAGGCAAGAGGCATTATCAGAGGTCAAGCACACATTGCAACCAGGTTGCACTTGAGGAGAGTGCCAAGCAGCGCCAATGAGGGGTGTGGTCTCAAGGGCCGGAAAGAGAGGCTGGAGGCTCATCCCCGGAGGCTGAGGCTCCCCACCCTTCATTTAGCACTTTCTCCTGGCCCCAGCCAGCCAGCCAGCTACTCCGCTTTCCTCCTTGCGCATAGGAAATAATTACATGTTCAGACACAGTGGTGACGACAGCAAGGAGCTCAGCAGTAGGGCATGCAGTTCAGTCTCCATCTTTCAGACTGAAATCCTATGCAGGGCCAGTAAGACTCAAATCTCCACAAGCTTTCTTAGGATAGCACCATTCATTGTGATGGCTAGGTTGGCTCAGAGATCTGCCTGAGAAGATGGAGAGCCACTGCCAGTTGAAGTAGCGCTGGGTTAAATGGATCAGTGTTCAGAGGGTAACCTCATATGTACTGCAGTTTCGCAAGCTACAGGAGAAGGTAATAGCTTACACTGGTTTTCCTTAAGCAGCAAATGAATGACATTGCAGCTCTCGACTAAGGTCATGGCCAATTTATTCCTCAATATCCTGTCTTCCTTTTTCTTGGTCCTAGGGGAACTTACAATAACATTTCAGTGATTTCAGATAGAGAAAGTGCAGCAGCCTTGTTAGCAAAGATCAGTTACTCTGCTGATTAGCAATGAGAGCTTTGCTGATAAACTTGTAACCGAAGCGTAATGGCTGTTAATGGCACTGATGATTAAAATAATTTGATTAGCTTAGACAGATCCGGTTCCTGCATCTGGGGTTTTCGACGGCGAACAGTACTAGACACAAGTGAAATGGAATTCCCTTTAGCGCCAAGCGTATCAATGCGGCTTTACATAAAGATGAATGCAGGTTACACTTTAAGCCATTTTTAACAGATAAAAGGTGAATGAAGGATCATAGTAACGAATAGCTTGCATTTCAGAGGTTCATTATTTTAATAGTATTCCTGGGATATACAAATCAAGTTACTCCTTTTGCAAGGAAGTTTAGTGGGCCTGGGATTGTTAAATGCTTCTGGAAAAAGACAGATGTTCCATATGCAAAAGTTAAAGTTGAGTTATATGAAAGAATATAGCTTCTAAAATACACTCTCTTCCCAAGCTCAGAAGTAATGGAAGGCAGTGAGATACTATGTATGTATACATATCTGTGCCTAGGACTGGTGTGTTGGGGCATTTTTATGCAAGCAGATAATTAACACATATCCATTTGTTTGTTTATTTGAAAAGTTTGTCAACAACATTAACAAAACAAAAAACCCATAAGCAGTTTACCTAGAAAAAGATATAGAGTGGTACCTTGGTTTAAGAACAGTCCGGTTTAAGAACGATTTGGTTTACAAACTCCGCAAAACTGGAAATAGTGTCCCGGTTTGAGAACTTTACCTTGGTTTAAGAATGGAATCCAAACGGTGGAAGGACACTGGCAGCAGGAGGCCTCATTAGCGAAAGTGTGGCTTGGTTTAAGAACGCTTTTGGTTTAAGAATGGACTTCCGGAACGGATTAAGCTCGCAAACCAAGGTACCACTGTATATGCATTTAAAAAATCAGGAAAAGTAAAACAAATTGATGTGAAATTTATCAAAATATGAATAAAATCAGCAATTTTAAAGCAAATATACATAACAAAATTACATGTTAAAGTTACATTTGTGCTCTATGAATATTTTAAATAGAGTAATCCTATTGGAATAACAGCTTCTGACACAATATCACAGAGATTATTAGCAATATACTGCCTTGGGTTCATTGAATCATAGAATTGTAGAGTTGGAAGGGACAACAAAGATCATCTAGTCCAATGCCTGCAATGCAGGAATCGTTTGCCCAACGCAGGGCTCAAACCCATGACCCTCCAAAGTGGTACAGCCTGGGAAAGGTTGTGCTATGTGAGGTTTTAGGATATGCAGTTTGGTTCTTACGTTTGACAGACAGAAGACTAACGGTTAAGAACACTGTACTTTTCCTGTGGTCACATCTTAAGCAGGGGGTCATGCTTGGAAGAGGATAAAACATTCCCGTATTTGTTCAGTTCGAAGAACAGCCCTCTCCTAGGAACTACAACATAGCATTCATCTCCAAGAAAAGCATGTGGGTATGCCCAGGGCAAACTGGCCGGGGAAAGGGATGTTATTTGGTTACAGCTGAGATGAGTTCCTGTATTATTTGGCTTTGCATTTCTTAACTGGCAGAAAGAATGGCTTATTGCAGACGTAAAACAACTTTTAAATAAGCACTATCTGGAGGCAGCGAACTCTTCTATACCCTAAAGAAATGAACCAGCTATATAGTCACTGGACGCAAAGAATATTCCCTTACACAAGGGATGATGTAAGGCTCATAACGTATTCTATGACATGATTTGTATAAAGTCCAGTTGACTAACAAGATTTAAAACACAGCCGCCAACCCAGCATGAACCAGTATGTTACGTCATTAATGTTTCCTTTGACTTATATTCAATTGTGGAAGAAATATCTGCAATGACTGGTATGTATTGCAGGAATGCCAAGTCTGCAGGGCTTGGCTTTTGCCCAGTGAATATGTTACATATTCAAATCCACGTAAAACTATTGCTGAAATGAGTACCTTAGGAGGTTAGTGCTGGCTTCTCGAATCAGCCTGAGCTTTGCCTAGTTCACCATTCCATTTCAGTGAGCAGAAGCCTCTGGAAAGCTCACAAGAGCACTTTCTTCTTTACATTAACAAAGCATCAGCCTGTTGCCAAAGGACCTAATTGAGCCATTATTAATTGTGATGGAAGAAGATAGCAAAGCCAGTTTGCTCAGCTCAATCAGAGAGAGGAGTCCTCCAGATGTTGTTAGACTCCAATGCTCCTCAGCGCAGTCAGCATGACTAATGGTCAGGGATGGTGGAAGCTGTAGCATAACAGCTGGAGAGCGTCATATTAGTTATCCCTGTCCTAAATGAACGGTTTACGGCCAAACCATATGTGTAGATAAAGCATTAGGTAGTAACTCAAGTCCTCCTAGAATTGTACTCCATGCAGCAGATAAGGGATTGCATATCTGAATGTTTCCTGCACACCTCTCTCTGTGTGCATAACTCACTAAATGCAGAACAATAGCTGGACCAGGAAAAAGCTACATTAGAAACTTGGCATATTAACTTTCCACAGACATGGCGTTTGTGACATGAATGAGATAACTCAGTCATGAGGTGGCAACTTACCAGCTAAAGTCCTACCATCGTAGAACACTCTACCTTGTGTCTAAGGCTGAACTCCTACATCAATCAGTCTCTAATTCTGCATTTAGGAAACTGAATAGAATAGAGGTGTAGCTTTGAAGTAGTACAAGAGGCTGGTCATTTTTCATGGTCTGAGGCCCATTTATTTTGTCTCCCTGGTGCATTAATTGCCCCCTGGCAAATGTATAAATAATTCTGCCAAGGAATCACATTTAATAATGTTGTTTACATCATGTATGTGATCAATAAGTTGCCCATTTCTGGCATGGACTGTGATGTTTCTCTGTGTGTGCATAAAATAGATGGAACAGATTTTTCTCCCACGAGCATTGTTGGAACTTGTCTCAAGGGAATCGGGTACAGTACTGCTCTGCTCCCTCAGTGTGAAAGTGAAGTAAAAGTTGGATAAATGAAGTTGCCTTCTGTTGAGTTAGACTAGCCTATCAAGGAGCTCTCAAGTGAGCCCAGGTGATCCACAGGGCAGGAAAGCATGGGATGCAAATTGCATTTTATTAACCTAAAATAGCAACACATCTTAATCCAACTGAAACATTGCTGAAACTGACCCCTGGCCCCTCCTCCCTTCCCCCTCTAGCCTCTCACTCCAGATTCCTCCCAAGCAAACGAAGGCTGCATCAAGAGTATGAGCCTGTCTGGCCCATTTCTCAGCAACGTGCAGGACTCTCCTCAAGGGGGGTGTCATAGGAGGAGGCGAGCCAACAGGGCTCGGACTGCCCTGCTGCTGGCTAGCAAGGACAACCTCTGACTCCTCTGTCTTCAGTCTGCACTCACGCTGTGACTCTCAGCTTCTAACCTGGAAGGCCCTCCTTTTCCTGACCCCCCTTGATCACTCAAACCCCCTGATACCAGCACCTTCCTCAGACTGCTCCTCAGTGTCCCACCACCATGATCCAGGGTCTACGCTGTCATCTTTGGGAGGGGGGCGGATTTTGGATGGGCGACTCCCACTACTCTCCCTCATTCCTCCAGACATAGCCTTTCCCTGGTGTTTTGGACTACAGTTCCTACCAGCCCTTGCAAGCATGCTGTATGATCAGGGATGATGGTGGTTGCAGTCCAAAACATCTGGAGATTACCATGTTAGGGAGAGCTGAGTTAGACCATTGGTCACACTAGCTGTGCATTCTGAATGGCAGAGATCTTTCCCAGCCCTACTGTCAGTGATTTGTATAGTTGCAGTTGCTCCAGCCTAGGACAGCTACATGTCCTTTACTACTGTGGTTTAGTTCTAGGTCAGTGTGGGTCCCCAGCTGTTGCGGGGCTACAACTCCCTAGCTAGCAGGACCAGCGGTCAGAGATGATGGGAGCTGTAGTCGAACCACAGCTGGAGGGTGCCACATTGGCTATCTCTTCCCTGTGGTTCAGGAAAGACGGGTGTCACTGCAGTTCCCAGGCCACTAGCATATTGTAATGAGTGAGTCCGTGGGGCTATGATGGCCCAGGAAAGGTTTTGTGAAATAAGTGGAGTGTAAATCAGGTGAATAAGATGGGTTTACTTGGGCTGTTCCAGTTCATACTGAAACAGTAGAAAGGAGTCAGAGGGTCAGAAGTAGCATGCTAAAATTGTGCTAGCTAGAATTGTGGCCTTGGATGTAGGAAGCTGCACCTCCAATCCTCACAACAGGTGAAAAAAAGCAAGACAAGCTGATGCTTAACAGGATTGCATTTTTAATTTTTTGCCTTTCTTTTCTTTCTTATTTTGGAAGTTTATAGTTTCATCAACTGTTGGCAATCAGATAATTTGCTCGAGCAAAATGTAGAACTGTGTTAAACTGTCTTGACTTTGACATTGCCTTTCAAGGACATTTTAGCCTGTATTGTGGTTTTACAGTGAGTGCTGACATATCTTGCAATCATTCCCTTCTTACAGCAGTAACAGAAGCTGTTAAAATGCAGCATTGCTATGACGGGCCTGGTCACCACACTGTTCGAGACTCAGTCAGATGAGCAGCTGCACTAAGATTTGTCACTGCCCTTGCAGTATAAGTAAACCTCAGAATAGATCAACAAAGCAGTCCTGTCCTGTCCTTCCCTGTCCTTTCCTTTCCTTCCTTTTCTGATGCTAGAAACAGCCCATTCCCCCAAATGATGTAATTTCATTAAAAAGCAGACAGGGATTTGCCAGGATTGGGCTGAGGTTACACTGGGGGCGGGGGGACTTGTTTGTGGGAAAGTGTTTTAACGTATTTCAGCCAGCCACCTGTATGCCTGAAGTAACTTGTTGAATGCTATTGCAAGCTAACTTTCAGCATTGCATTCTGCATTCACGTAATTTGCGTACACACAGACCACTCCATTAGCCATCAGAGTTGTTTGTACAATTAGGATCAGTACTTTAGTACTAGAACTAAACTTGGGTGAAGGTATGCATGTGACAGATTGCTGCAGTACATTACATGTGTACATCTGTGGTCAGTTATGTGCCCTGGTGTACCATTCTGGAGCAAATGACAAGTTAAAGACCCCAGCCCAGCTTTTGAGTATGCATTATTGTGGGTGATTAGTAGCCATGTAAAGGGATGTGCAGCCTTTTCTGCATCCGTCAAATTAAATGACGACTAGATTGGCATTTTGATAGGCATCAACATCAGGTTAATTCATATTCTTACTGGAACAAGTTAGTATCATTTAGCAGTAGGTCGCTTGTTTTCCCACCACAAATATATTGTTTGCAGGAACTTCACAAATTCAGTGTTAGGATTCCCTGGAATTTTGTAGTTGCGGTTCTTCCAACACAGCTTTAACGGCACTGGAATGAAATCATATTTTGATGAAGTAAGCTTAAGTACACCTTGAAACGCTTGAAGGCCAGCTCATGCTCTCGTATTGATTTAGATTTGCCAGTTTTATCCCAAGGACAAAGGAGAATTAATGCACATTTCTGCAATTCAGGGGGTATTTAAAAGAACTGGGAATTGAAAGGTCCTTGGTATAGTTACTAAGTGATGATTGCCACTGCCTCTTTTACAGTGTCCTGGAGGAGCCTTCACACCCAACATACGGACCACCAAGGAGTTTCCAGATGATGTGGTCACCTTCATCAGAAACCATCCCTTGATGTTTAATCCCATCTATCCAGTCCATAAGAGGCCATTAATAATCCGCACAGGCACAGACTACAAATATACAAAGATTGCTGTCGATCGTGTCAGTGCGGCAGATGGAAAATACCACGTCTTGTTTCTTGGAACAGGTAGGACAAACACCTGCCGTTTTAGTAATCTACAGGCATCTGTTTTGCACAACAGGTTCCCTCAGGATCAACCACTGCCACTTTGCTGTTATATGGATGCGATCCCCACCAATACGGTAGTCGGGAGCATTTGTCAATATGAAGGCTGTGTTCCTTGTTCATGGTAGCTAGGGCTAGGGGCAAAAATGTGGAGAGTAATGGATGCAAATTTCACCTTTGTGCAGTAGGCAGTTTCTACACCTATCCATCTCTATCTATCCAGTCAAACAACAGGCATAATCAGAATTTAAGGACACATTGCAGCCAGGGGTGGGGGATCAGGGTGCAAAGCAAGGGCCAGTGAAGGGTGTGGCCTGAGAAGAGTTATGGATGCCGGATAAAGAGGCCTGGGAGGTTATCCTCCCATTCTTTAGGTATCTTAATCAATGCTATAGCTCTCCTAAAAGTGTTTTAAAACAAGTTTTTTTAAAGGGGGGATTGTTGTCATCTGCTCTGAATTAAAGTTGCATTCATATTTAAGGCTTTGGATTTGTTTTTCTTAAAAATACAGTCCGATTAATACTATAGTCACCTCTGGAGAAATCTTAAACCAGCATTCCAGCTCAGCATTCTCATAGTTTCACACTCTAGCCTCCTGGAAAATTCTTGATCTTCTTTCAGGAACAACTGCACTTTCCAATGTTCAAACATGCCAATACTCTGGTCAACTGAGAGTAGAATCTTATGGTGTCTATACAAATGTTATACTTTAGTTACACAGCTGTCCCTTTTCAGCGGATGAGGTTGAAAAGAAGCAGCAACCAGTGCAACTGTTTTAAGGACTGGCAAAATGGGGTCTCTTTGGCTGGTCCCAGTTAGCAACTAGCAGCCCTATGATGATAACTGAAGGAAGCCCCATCCAAATATAGCACATACAGTGGTAGTCTAACTGTTGCCACAGCATGGATAATGTTGGCTGATGGGTCTTTGCCCAGGAGAAGCTGCTGCTGGTGTGCCAGCCCTTAGCTGCGGAGAGGGGCTTTGTGTCACAGATCACGCCACTTGGGCTTGCAAGAAGACAAGTTGGGGCTAAGAAGGCGAATGCTTGATTCTCGGTGCTTAGAGCCACCAAGGGCAAGTTTAGTCCACCCGAGGTATTTCCCTTCTTCCACATCAAGGGAGAAAAGGCTGCATGTGGAGACAGTGTTCTGAGAGCAAGGCCACCTTTCTCCTCCTCACTACATCCACTGCATTATCTGAGCCCTCCCTCCTTGTTCACGCTGCCCAACATTTTGTTAATTACTAACAACCGTTAAAAGAACATTCTCTTGGAGCACCAGTGGCTAAACAAGGCTTCTCTCCTAATAATCAGGTTAAGGCAGCGCCGGACACATCTACCAAAATGTATTGGGGGGGCTGTTCACTCTCTGTTAGCCCTGCATGACCCCCCACCCCTCACAAATTCACACTCCAGCTCATGGAAGCATGTAAACAGGACTAAGGTCTGTGGGGCTTGTCAGTGCGACGCCACACACTCCGACATGATTTGCATTGCTGGTAGCCAGGGAAGAGCCCTAACTCTTATTGCCCTGACACCAGTAAAGGGCTCCTCTTTCTTTGAACTGGTCCACCCATATTCCAGTCCAGCCTGATAATGGAAGTGTTTTCCATAGGTCCCTGCTCTTCTCTCTGGCTTTGCTTCCTTAAAATTGTTGCTGCTGTCATTTATGTAAAGCAGTGGTTCTCAAACTTTTTTCTCTGGGCCACACTTCCAGAATAAATATTTGCTCATGCCGCACCAATTTTTTAATTGATAAAAAAGGAAACAACTCCTAGCAGTGCTTGATCTGTAAGATAGAACACAACAACTTTATAATGTTTGTGGAACATCCAGAAAGTATAAAACAATGCAGCTGCATAAGAACACGAATCATTTCCAAAATATAATTATAAACAAGCCTCTTACATATGTACCTTGAATATGTATACAAGCTGAATGAGATGTGTGAACTTGCTTTTGTCAAGTAATCTCATTTATATTAGATATTTAGTCTGCACCTAGTTTTCAAACACTTGTCTGAGTAGGAAGGTCTTAGTTTTCTGGCAGAAGGATAACGAGGAGGGAGCCTTGGAAGGGAGCAGCCACAAAAGGGCTCTCATGTCACCACTGACCATGTCTCTGATGTCATGAACATGGGTGGCACACAATAACTGATGAAAAATAAATGAAGCCCAAGGGTGTGACAATTTTTTCTTCTGTTCCAGTGTTTTGTGCTTTCAATAGGGCTAAAGGGATTTGCTAGAGAATGCAATCACCAACAAAAAGCAAGCGAGCAAAAGGAATGGGGATCATGGGTTAATTAAAAGATTTGTGTCAAATTTCCTTCTTACGAGTGTTGACAAGTGCATTGTGTGATCCTGGCAGGCTTGATCGCTGGTGGCACAGGCCCCGGCATCCCTTTGGCAAGGGCAAGAGGGACTTGGCAGCGTGGTGACACGAGGCAGCATGGATGAGTTACGAAGCGGGACAGAAATGTTGCCAGTTCTGTCTCTCTCAGTCTAAGAAGTGAGTCATTCTTCCAGTTAGGTTGTTTGCCTGCCAGGTTCAGAAATACCTCCTCCCATGTAGTTTTAGGACTTGATCTAGTCATGCAGATAAATCTCATGGGCAGAGCTGCAGGTGGAGGTTTGTTAGAGAGAGCTGTTCAAGGGAACATATGCTACCCTTGGCCACCTTGCAATGATGAAAGATCAATCGTCTACTTCCCAGAATGCTGAAGGAATTTGAGAGAACTTTAAAAGTGCTCTTGAGAATGAGAGAGAAAAATAGAAGCATCTTTTGCAGGAGAATAAATCTTTTGAGGAAATTTTGAGGTTTCGGCACCAACAGCACCAACAAACACAAATGTTCAGTTCCAGCCTCAGAGTCCATCTGTGCAGCAGGAAGAGGAGTGACTTCTCCCTCCGAGAATTGTGCAGACAGGGTGTGTAAAGTATTTTTTGACACTGGATGTAGTAAGTGCTGGAGAAGCTATAATAGAAATGTTCAACGTGGCCCTACAAAAGTGTATTTTACAGATCAGACAGTAAAGCAGAGAGACACCAGCATATGCAGACAGACACTCTGTGATTCTCTGGCCAAAGGTGAATCACACTTTTTGCCGTTGTGTAGAGGCCATTTAAAAGATACTCGGTCTAGCAGACGTCAACTCACAGTGTGCTGTTCAAGTGTTCACCAAGTTGATCAGACCATTTTTCCCACGCCAAAGCAGGCTTTTGCTGGGATGTGGCGGGGCATTAGTGATAACTTTTACAAAAGTGTGTGGCAGATGGGGGAAAAGGCTCATTCCATGCACAAGATCATTAGGAAAAGAATGAAAAATAAAACTACCAGAATTGCACTACTGTGTGCAACCCTAGTAAGGAAGGCTTTGGAGGGGGGGGGCAGCAGCAGGGGAAAGAGGCATCTTATCAATTCACCTCATGTGGCGAAATGGGATGGGCCACCCCTGGGGCAACTGCGTAGTAAAGGCTCATCACCAGGTACATTTGCCTGCCAAAAACAATGTGCTGGCCTTATTGAAACCCCTTTTTTGCTTCACTCCATATACCTTTGTTGTCTGCTCAGCAGCAACCTTCCAGCATGTCTCAAATTGGAAACAAAAAAGGGTTTGGATAAGATCTGCTACCCTGAGCAACTTTGGGAGGAAGGACAGGAAGGACAGCTGTGATGGACAGCTGAGCCAGACCAGAGTCTGGTGATGCAGTGACTTGGGATTCTACCAGAGGGCTGGAGCCTCTCTCTGATTGGCTACCAAGATGGAGGGGGTGGAGCAGCACTGGGGGGGATAAAAGGAGCCACTTCTGAGAGAGAGTTCAGAGAGGGAGATAGTTGAAGAGAGAGAAGGTGGGAAAGAAGGAGAGTTAGAGCTGATCTGTGTGTAACATCCACTCTGAGGGAAATGTCAATAACAAGAGAAAGGAGTTTCTGAGCTTAGATTGAAGACAGTGTTTAGTGTCTTGGGAGAGTATTGAGACAGGAGTTAACTGGAGGGCTGAGTCTGAGCAGGAGAAGTAGAAGCTGTGAGTCTCCTTGGGTCTCATTCCAGTCAGGAGGGGAGAGATCTTTTAGAAAGAGAAGACTCTCAATCCAGTTAGTGGGGATCCCCTGGGTCTGTTATATATTCAAAGTAATTGTTCAACTTCTGCCTGAGTCTCCAAGCATCGGTTTTACTTTGCACAGAAACCTGTGGTGGTATACAGAGCGGTGGGTCTGCTGCCATTGGTAGTCAGGAAGGTGGGATATGCTACAGCAGGATATAATTTTAAAAAATTAACATTTCACACAGGAGCACAAGTCTCCCTAAATTGCCACCAAGTTTCACTTGAATTAGTTTCTGAAATAATTTTGGATGGTCCTGATGGGAAACATCTGAACAGTCCCGAGGGCAGCAGAGTGGGAGTTTTGTCAAGACCAGCAAGAAGATTCTGGAGGCATCGTTTGTCATCCCAGTGGATCCTTGTACTTTCACTTGACAGAAATGTTCCAAGCAGAATTTATTTTTATTTTTAGGCTTTCCCTTTCTCTTCTTTTTGTTTTCTTGACCTTGAGGTCAGACATGCATATTTGAGCCAGAACTGCAATTGTAATTTGTCTCATCCTTGGGCTGGGAGGTGGGGAGCTGGGACCACCACAAAGGAGAAGGTTCCCTCATAAAACTGTCACCCGGGTCAGCACTTCTTACCATTGTGGTGCCGATGGTGGTTTTTATGATGTGGCTTAGCTTGTCCTTTCAAATGTTGTCTTTTGCTTACTTGTTTGTTTGTTTTCTTAGGGAAGGGCTTTTATAGGTCTGTTTTGAAGTCTCTCTTTTGAAGATACTGACTAGAACGTTCTCTTTTGGCTGGCTTGTATTACAAATATATGGAAAGAGTTGAACTTTTCCCTCGAATTAGAAAGTTGAACTTACTGCATAAACAGCCAAACATCTGGGTGTTCCATACCACCTAAGTGTTGTGTATAGTGTGATGCAAACCGTAGCCTGATGTAAACCGTCATAGTTCTTTGACTGTAACTGAGCAAATGGTATCTGGGAGCCTTGACTGGCTAGAGCAGATAAGAGATGTAGTCCTAACATCTGCAAGTAGGGATGCATGAATCTGTCAATTTCGTTCTCTCATTTTATCAACCATGTAGAACTCCCACCCCCCGGAAGTACACATGACACCTTTGTTGGTGGGCTTCTCCTACCCTTGCCTTAAGACCCAGGACTATGGGAGAGCTGAGTTGTGGAATGAAATCATCTGAAAATGAAATCATCAGTTTGCTGCAGAAATAGTTGTCATTTTAATGATACAGTTGTCTTAACTGGCTCAGTTATGATCTTATGCGTATTGTGTGGTTTTTTTTAAAAAAAAGACTGTTTTATTGGTGCCTTAGTATGAATGAATGCCCTGTGATCCTGATCGATAGAAAGCGGTCTTGAAATTAAGTAAGAAAGTAACGTGCCTCGCTTCTTCTTGTGCAAAAACTATTCACAGAGAAGCCTGACCAGCCTTGAGATCATGCAGGTTGGGGGTGGGGAATGTTAACTGTTCCTCTCCCTGCCACAGTCTTCCACCCACCCACCCACCCCCAAAAAACCACCTATCCTACGCTGTTTTTTGCATTTCAGGGGAAGCCCCGATTTATGTCATATCTGCTTTGGAGCTATGTGTACGCAAATTTGGGAGTGTCTCTATATTGCATGGGGGTGAACAAAGAATAAGGCTATCACATACCTGGCCTAAAGGCACTACCACCTTTAAGCTAAAGTGAATTTTGGTTGTGAATTTGGGGGTTCTTCCTTGGCAAACCAAGAAATTTAGGAAAGGTGGTGGAGGTTTCCTATGTTTAAAGAGTTTCCTACATTTCTAGTTTGAACTGCACTCTCCGATGTACCAGTCCCATGAAGTGTAATACTAGTGAGGTTGCCTCAGTGATTGGATGGGCCCAGTGGGCATGAGAGGGGGGAGTTAAAATATTACTCCTTCCACAGGTAACATAGGCAGAAATTGCATGCAGAGAAATATGTGTGATCCAACTCTTTTTCCTTTCTGAAAAACATGATTTATAAGTATCACTCCTTTTGGCGGTGTTCATAATTCTTGTGGCTTTGGACCCTGGCTGAACATAGCCTTGCAAATTAGCCTGCAAAGGTTGCTTTTCACAAAACTTAGGGGCCAACTACACTTAACATTGATGATGTGATTAGCAGTCACATTCAGTATTATGGGGTGGGGAGCAGTTGTCATCGGGGCTGCAGTGGATGAGGAAGGGAAATTGCAATGCTAGCCACACATGCAACAATTAGCAATGGGGGGGGCTTTTCCATTGGAAGAACATGAGATAAATATTAATAATTTTTTAAAAAACCACACACACACACACACACACAACCTGTTATGCTAGATATTGTGACATTAGTATTTTTAAAACTATGATGGAAGATGTTATCCATAGCAGTTGCAAGATATTCCATTGGAAGATGTTGGTTTTATCATGAAGTTCCTGCATGCTGTTAGACACAGGGCAGCCACAGCTCTCTCATCTATTGTTTTCAGCATTGCATCCTTTTAATTATTTTTTGTTCTCTCCCTCTCTCTTCCTTTCCTCCCTCTCCTGCTACCCCTTCTCTGTTCCAGACCAGGGTACAGTACAGAAGGTTGTAGTCCTGCCCACTAACTCCTCTGCAACTGGAGAACTCATCTTAGAAGAACTGGAAGTTTTTAAGGTTGGTCTCTCTCTCTCTCCCTCGGCCTTATTTGTCTCACGGGTGTCTTCATCTGTGCAAAACACTTTGATCTCATATAGCCTGGTTTGACTGAAATGTCTTCGATAAAAGATCAAATGAGGAACAGTGTAACCTTTTTTGAGGCTGGAGTTCTCCAAGTGAAGAGTCTTAAATCTTCTATAGGGCATTTAAATTGCTTATTTTTCTTATCTTGTCATCCTGGCTTAAAGGAGTTTGATAACTGTTTCTCCTACCCTCCCCACGATACAGCGGCTTCCAGAAACGGGCCTTTTTGCTATATTGTTATTTTTCTTTCAACCGCCTGCAGAGGAATGTCAAATTCTCTTGCTTTTTTGTTGATCTGATAGGATTTCTGATGGCAAGCTACAAATCTTAAGGAAAATAGGCTTAGTTTTGCTCTCCTGTATGTATTGAAAGCCCAGGTGTTCCTGGTGTTAGAAAACCATAGACCTGGGATAAAGAGTTGAGAAAGGAAATGAACCAGGCTTTGTCAGTCATTTTGTATTTCTCCGCTATGAACCACATTGGGATTTTTGGATGGAGGACAGTATACAAATTTAATAAATAAATAATCATCTTTCTGAATCCCTCTATAACGGAACATAATGGAACAGGGTAGTGTCTGGCTGGTTGCAGAGGAGTGGGGGAGGCACCAGCCTGGGAACCCCCGAGAAAAGAAGACTCAGAGCCTGGGGATGGTGGTGTGACGATGGTGAATGGTGCAAGGCAGAAGAGGGAGCAGACTAGGAGCAGGAGGTGTCAGAAACTGAAGAGGTAACAGGGTTTAATGAGTAGGAAGGGGCTGTGGCAGAGAACAGTCCAGAATCAGAGGCTGGAGACGAGGGGCCAAGAGGCAGAAATATGGCAGGCTACTGAAGAAGCCAGGGGGTTTCCCCCTCCTGCTGTGAACAAGTCCCCTCCCCCCTGGTCTCCCAGAACCTGCAGAGGTGTGACCAAGGCAGAGCAGAGACAGATAAAGCGGAGAAGTTCTCAGATCACTTGGGGAGGACCCAAGGGGTCCTGGAGTACTGTGTCCAGTTCTGGGCACCACAGTTCAAGAAGGACACTGACAAACTGGAACGTGTCCAGAGGAGGGCAACCAAAATGGTCAAAGGCCTGGAAAAGATGCCTTATGAGGAACGGCTAAGGGAGCTGGGCATGTTTAGCCTGGAGAAGAGGAGGTTAAGGGGTGATATGATAGCCATGTTCAAATATATAAAAGGATGTCACATAGAGGAGGGAGAAAGGTTGTTTTCTGCTGCTCCAGAGAAGCGGACACGGAGCAATGGATTCAAACTACAAGAAAGAAGATTCCACCTAAACATTCGGAAGAACTTCCTGACAGTAAGAGCTGTTCGACAGTGGAATTTGCTGCCAAGGAGTGTGGTGGAGTCTCCTTCTTTGGAGGGTCTTTAAGCAGAGGCTTGACAACCATATGTCAGGAGTGCTCTGATGGTGTTTCCTGCTTGGCAGGGGGTTGGACTCGATGGCCCTTGTGGTCTCTTCCAACTCTATGATTCTATGATTCTATGATTCTAAGGGAGGAGACATAGGGAGCTGTAGGGAAGCAGGGACCTTCAGTTCTCACAACTGCCTCATTGGGGCAAGACCTACTGGGAAGAGGTGAGTTGTTTTTGTTTCTTTGAATAAAAAGTTAACTTCACTGATACCTTGTGAGTTATTTCTTAATGGCTCCCGTCTTGAGAGGTAGACATGCTCCTCCATTAGAGCAAAACAGGAAAGTCTTTTTACCTTTAAACCCTGGAGAGACCGTGTAGGTAATAATAAACTAGATGGATCGATGATCTTACCCAGTATAAAACAACTTCTTGTGTACCTATGTTCCTAAATGTCTATCCCAGTTTGTGTATACTTGTTCCACCACTTTGCTAGGAGTCTTCCTTTAGTTGCTTGGAAATCAGAATAGATTTACATTCATGATCATCATCATGAACATATAGGAGAGAAATTGTTAGATACCATCACTTGCTATTTGCTTCAATGAAGATGATCTGGCACTATCGCCCCCATCAGCCTCCAGCAGTTGTGACTCCTTGTAATAATAATAAAATTTATTTTAATATTGGCTATACCTGAGTTCAGGGCAGTTCATAGAACAAATCCTGGCTATAATTTATTCTCAATCAGATTAAATGTACCTACTTGTAAAGCCAGGATCTGACTAATAACCTCCTTCTGCTTGAATTGACTTAACACCCCATCCCCAAATCAGGAATAGCTCTGCTTATCTTTGAGCCAATCCAAATTTGACCTATCCCACCTATCAGAAGCCCTTGGATAATTGTTCTTTCACAGTCTGGTACATGCTGCTAGCCAGTGTGATGGAATGGTGGGGAGGGGGAAGGGGAGACAATAAACAAAGAAACCCAAACAACGCCCCCCCCCCCAACTCTGGATGCCACTTCCCAGCTTTGAAGGAGAGGTAAGCATATGTGTGGTGGGGCACAGCTTTTTGAGATGGAAAGGGCAGTGGAGACAGATGTGGAAGGGAAACCAGGATTTCTTCTTTGACCTGGATTTCATCCAAACCAGAAAAGAATGTTGAGGCCTGTACAGTTCACCTGTCATTTCAAGGTGGGTTTTATAAGCACAGAAAGCTTGTTTCCAGGCAAGAATTTGGACAACTTCATTGGCATGACTATTAAGTCTTCTGAAAGCTCTTCCAGAGATGAGTAGAGAATGCCGGAGGGGATTTTAGAACATTTGGCAACCTTTTTCTACCAGCTTGTTATCCAGCCTTCTTTTCTTTCAGCTAATTATCCCTGCCACTCCTCTTCTTGGTTCCTAAGGAAAATATGCATCTAAATGAGATCTAAGATAAGCATAAATAACCGAGAGGCAGGTGAATAGTCACTATCTGATCCTCTTCTGCTTTCCTTTCTTTCTGTCTGGGGCAGGTTTTAGGATTCTTAAATCAGAGCCTGAATTCACCTTGCTATTATGTTTGTGATAGATATCCAGAATTGGAGCCGATATGCTTGGAATTGGTCCAGCAGCAGCTACCTTTGTAAGATCAGATCAGTAGAGGGGCAATGGCAGTGAAAACCACTCCTGTTCCTCCCCCCCCACCACCACCGGTGTGTTTGAAGTGGTTTATAGTAAGCCAGTAGGCCTTGCTCACTCCACTGACTGTTCAAAACAAGTTAACAAGTGGGTTCCACAACAATATGCTGTGATGCGGTCTGCTCCTGTTTAAGGTCCCAGCTGGTCATGTCATTTTGCAGGATGATCCATTCCATTCTCTGCCTGCTTCCATATCTCCCATCTTCCACCCCAAACAGACAGTTTAGGAGGGGTTTTGTTTGTACTTCTGCAAACCTTGAGTTCACCAGAGCCTCCCTCAGTTTGCCTGGCTGGTGCAGTTCTTCTTTTTGTCTGTCCTATTTTGCTGTTCATGGGATTCTAATGTCATGAGTGAAGAAGAGAGGCTTCTCTCTGTTCACATTCTCAACACCATACAAAATTTTAAAAACTTTTGTCACCCCCCTGTTACTTGCCATTTTAGAGAGTCCCAGATGTTGTGGCCTTTCTTGTTGAGGGGGATATTCCATGGTGCAACATTTGCTGTATATGACCTGCAGTGTTAAGTTTAAAACAGCAAATGTGATCATTCGTTTCAAAATAAGTGTTCCCCAGTATGGTCTTCAGACATGGACCCATTTCAGTCTTCTGTGTTGTGCAGCAGCAGCTGCAGCGGAACAGTTATTAGAAAGAAACCCTCTCATCCAACAAACTGAGTTGCTTAACAAGCAACAGTGCATTCACAGAGCTGCCTAACAATTAAGACATAACTAATTTGTCTTCAGTGATCCTGAGCATGCATAAGAAGTAGAATGCAGGATCAGACTCACGCCCACCTAGCATTCTTTGCAAGAATCCCAACAACCAGCAGATACTAAGTGGTCAAAATATTGGTCGATGGGCCACCACAAGTCTCTCTTCTGTCTACCCCGCCTTGTCTGTTCCACTTCATATCTTCCATGCAGCTGGATCCAGTTCAACATGATCTGCCATAACTTCATTTTTCTCATTCTAGTTAATCCCTGAGCCCCAGAATAATGATTCACACTCTTGTCTATTATATATACAAATAGAGTGCATACTGTCTCTCTAATTCAACATGACATGCTTGTTAACACTTTGGTGGAGTCTTTTGCCCTTTTGTGTTCAACCGAAGGCCAGTGGAGCAAAAGAGAGCAATGTGCTGGATAACTCCATGTGTCCTTTGAATAACCCAAATGCAAACAAAACGTCAAACAGAGCAACACTTCGTTTTTAATGCTGACGTTTTCCATCGATAATCTAAAGCTCACACCATGAAATTGTGTGCAACGTTAGGTATTGCGTGCAGGAAATGTTAGATATTCCCCTTCATCCTCCTCACGTGCTAATTAAATATGAGCTGTGGCATAAAATGTTCCGTACTATTATCTTCAAAGCATAAATACAGGGATTTGTTGCCAACAGAACGTGATGGTTTGAAGGCATAAGCTGGCTATCTTCAGTCCTGAGGTGGCTATTGATGGGCTCTTCATCTGGAATTGTCTAAGTTGCAAGTGTTTGTGGTGAGGGGCTCAAAGTTGTCAAGACAAGGGGCTCATGTGCATAGCCTCAATATTTTATCCATGTCAAACATTGCATTGTCAAAGAGAATGATGAGGGGCAAACGATGAGACTGTGAAGGGGGGAAAAGTATTTCTAGAAGAATGGGGTGCTGTTCTGTGTACTGGAAAATGTTATGACTGTGGTTAACCAAAATAGAAGACTGGAATTTGGAGCTATCATTTATTTTTGTCTTTCAGAATAATGTTCCTATAACAACAATGGCCATTTCATCTAAAAAGGTAAGGAAAGGAATAATACTCATTCAGCAGCTGTGGTCTGGGGTTAATGTCATTTTAAATGCATCTCTATAGATGTATAACTTGCAGATATTGTAGATCATGACTAACTTGCCACATTGATTTCAACTGCATATGCATTTGGCTTAGTCTGGGCCCAACCCATTTTATTGTGTCCTCTTTGAAGCTATATCTGCACCAACCTATGAGATTGGTTAGGGTGAGAGAAAGTGACTTGCTCTATGCTCTATGCCAAAAAGCTCCATATGTGAGCAGGACTTTAAAACAGACTCTCCCGTGTTCATACAATTTGAACTATATTGCTATGGGCCACCATGCTGTAGATTAAGGGATTTCCGTAGATGTAGACATGGGACACAACCTACTCAAAGATGAGCACTTTTACATCCTCTTTTACATCATTGGCTTAAAAATGCGTGCTTAATTCTCTGCCATTGAAATCAAGGGGGGCTCAAAGTGCTTTGAGGTGGCTGGATTGTACTCATAGTACTTGTTGTCATATCCAAAGCAGCTACATGTGTCCATTCTATTGTACATATATACGATGAAATGCTTGTGGGTAACAACTTCATATGTGCATTCATCATTCATTATATAAAGTGGTTCTTTTGACATATTATTCGGGGGGGGGGATAGGAGCTGAAGACCACATGCATAATGGTTCTTATGGGGCAATAGATGGTACTCAGCTAAGTTTTACTCAGGATGACCTATTGAAATTAATGGGCCTAACTTAGCCGTGCTCATTAATTTCAGTGGGTCTATTCTGGGTAAAATGGCCCAAGAACTTTAAAGTACCTAGAAAGAAGTAGCATATCAGATCTTCAAAGCCGAGTGCAGCCCTCTGCCTGACAAAGGAGAACAATGACCCACAGTGTTTCAAAAGCATTAACATTCTCCCCTAAGTATTTTCTAACAGGAAAGTATAATGTTATAGGCATATTATAACACAGGATCTCTTATGTTTATTTTGGCCTTCTACCCATAGGTAGCTCACCTCTTGGTTTCACTGTTAATACCTAAAGAATGGGAGAGCTTAGTCCTTTATTAGTTGCATCCTGGCTAAAGTTCCTCTTCTAATCTCAGTGCCTGAAATAAATCTCTCCCTTTCCTGTCAAACAGCAACAGTTGTACGTGAGCTCGGACGAAGGGGTCACCCAGGTTTCCTTGCACCGCTGTCATATTTACGGGACGGCCTGTGCCGACTGCTGCCTCGCCAGAGACCCTTACTGTGCTTGGGACGGCAATTCCTGCTCCAGGTTCTACCCAACAGGGAAAAGGTGACAAAGTGTTAGATTGTCTTTGGAAGAAAAAAATAACCCATAAGACAACATTTAACCTTTGCTAGGCATTTAATACGATATTGGAATGGAGTGTTTTTCACTGTTAATGTTTTAAAGGCTAAAAAAATACCACCCATTTTTACTGGCAAAGCATTGCTACTTGAAGTCTTTGCATTGCAAAGGTGTTGCACTTCCTTGAATGTACTGAGGGCCTGGTTTTTCCCCGTCAAACAGATTCCATATAGAGGTTGTATCCAACACTGCCATTCCACTCGTCCCCTTGTGCAACAGAACTGGCCCCTCCTCTCCGATCCTTGGGCACCCTCAAAATCTGCTCCGTAGTATTGAGGGCCTCAATGGAACAGCTTTTTGGGCGTTGCAGGGAGATGAGGGAAGGGGACGAAGAGGAAGGGCAAGGGCAAATCTTGTTGCATGAGTGGAATGCTGATCATGCAACATTGGATAGAACCATAGAAGACTCTTCACTGACAGATAATCAACACAACAGAATAGTTTACTGATCACATTTTTTTTTTTAAAAAAAAAAGACTATCAGAAATTGTTTTTGCTGCTGTCGTGATTTCATTTGCCACTATCTGGAGGGAGTATCTAAAGTTACAGGACATCAGTTTCTAATTCTAGTGTTCATTTTTAATACGTAGCCAAGGAAGATGATTTAGGCAGATTTGAGCCCTTCCTGATTCTGCTTTATTGAGGAGTTTTCAACCTGATGGATCCCAGTCTGAAATCCTGGAGAGCAGCTGCCAATCAGTATAGACTTCACTAAGCCAGCTGGATCATAAGCCTTATTCAGTATAAGGAAGCTTCTTTTGTTCCTGTGATTTCACAAGTCCCTAGGGAACCATTACCTGGTGGCTGATAGGCTCCATTTTGATGAGCCAAAGATGTGCTCTCATCCCCGAGCCATTACTATCTCTCATTTACATCCTATTCTGAAATGAGCAAAAACAGAATTTGTGCCTGCCAATGAGCAACTGCATTCATCAATACTAAGTTCTTTTCTCTGCTAGCATTTGGAAGTGGTATTAAAGCCATATCAAAAATAAGGCTCAATAAAGCCTTGTCTATTCTGGAAGCTAAGACACAGAGCATTACTTTAGTTCCCTGTGTTACTATAGTTACTTTATTTCCCAGCGGTGCTCTGGTGCTTTGGAATAAGGCAACATGTCCTTCCTACAAGGGATGGATGGCAATTGCTGGTTTCAGATGCTTTTATCCAATTGCCAAGTATAGTTTAGGTGTGGACTGAACCTAGCCAAACATTTACAAATGCCTATGGATTTCTTAATACCTCCAGCATGTTAGCAGAATACATCATCTAGTTGAGATAATGTTTTGCATATCCTTTGCTTTTTATAGTGGGGAGAAAAAATAAATGCATATTGAATGAAGTCTGGTTTTCATATGTTTAGGAAATAAGTTGTTTCTTTATCTTAAAAAAACACAACAGATTATGATTGAGAAAACATCAGTAATTGGAGTGAAGTCAAGTCTCAAAGTCTAGACAGTAGTAGTAGCTTTTATGTAGGCTGCATTTGTTATTCCTTTGCCCTTTGGATTCCTACTAAATTTTGTTCCCAAAACAGAACTTCAGGATATCTGATCATGTCCTTATTTCCAAAATACACTCATGACACATCTTTCTTGACAAATGTTTCTACTTGTCCATTCTTCACCAGGGTTATAGGCTCCTTTAAAATGCAGATTTCAGTATGAACATAAATGCTTGCTGGAGCAGTCTGATGGCTCCACTAGTCCACCATCATCCTGTTCTCTCACAGTGGCCAACCAGGTGCCCATGAGAAACCCACAAACAGGATTTGAGCACAAGAGCCTCTTAAGTCTGAAGGCAGAACATAGTTATCATGGACAATAGCTGTCATTAGACCTCTCCTCCATGAATTAGTGTGTGTATGGAACTTCTGGAGAGAGAAAAAACAAGCAAGCAATGCTACAATTTGTAGACACATCTCATTTCTTCTGCTTACAATATTCTCTTGAGATGATCAGAGAACCCCAGCCAAGTTATGATTGTTAGTATTAAAGATCATGGATCAGCATGCTGTATTTCAGCATGTAAGTATTTCTGTTCAATAATTTTCTTTTAAGAGCCAGTGTGTTGTATCCAAGTAAATTCAGCTCAGAGCACACCCCTTGAAATTAACTGGCCTCTTAGTCATGTCCATAAATTACAGTGTGCTTACTCTGTGTATGACGAACATTGGATACAAACCACATATTTCTGGCTTCTGTTAAGGCAAGGTTTTATGAATGGATAAATAGAGGTTCCTTCTATGGGATGAATCCTTGGAATGACCACCCTGAAGGAAAGAAAGTGCAGTTGCCTAATCATTGCACACATTGCATAGTTAAACTATGGCATTTGCTCCTACTGGAGGCAGTGATGGCCACCAATTTGAATGTCTTTAAAAGAGAGTTTGATAAATTCATGGGTGATAAGGCTATCAGTGACTCCTAAACCTGATTGCCATGTTCTGCCCTCGCTGTCAGAGGCAATATGCTTCTGAAAATTAGTTGCTGTGGTTCTTCCTACTTGCGGCCTTCTCCTTGGCTGGACTAGGTGAGTCACTGGCCTGATTCAGCAGGTTCTTCTTATGTTCTTAACTATTTTGTCATCTTCCCCCTCCTCACCAACAACAGTAGGAATTATAGTTTTGTAACACTGCTGAGAACTCTGTTGGAGATCCAGCAACTTGATCCATAACTATAATTCTGACAGTTTTCTATAAAGGGAAGTGGAGGAGACATGGCATTTCAAACCGTGTAAGCTTGTTGATGCTGCAACCCAACGAAAGGGAAATCACCACACTTCCATATAAAGAGGATACTTTCCATGAAAAATATATAATTAAAATATTATCAACCAACATATGGACTACATAATACAGACGACAATAATGTAATACAACTAAATATCTTACTATATGAGTCCACACATATGTAGTTTATATAGTGACATCTAACTGCGCACAAACTCAGGTGACACTTGGGACAGCAATATTTTTAGGAGCATGAATGAAGTTGGGCATAAGTGCTTTAAGTTCATCTACAAGACTATAGGGGATCTACATGGATTTCGTAGTGCAGCCACCCAAGGCAGCAAAAAATCTTGAGCCAGCCTTGAGTAACATTCAACTAGCAGAAACTTTCTCAGTGAAGGTTTGGCTGAGAAATTCTGTCATCCTTCTTCTGAGGTGCTAATATTTACACAGCACTGTGTCTCTTATGTATGCATAGTAGCTTTGTGCAGCCATAGAGCTCACACCTTGCACGTAGAAGTTCCCATGTTCAGCCCACAAGACCGCCAATTTAAAAGCCTCTCCAGTGAAAGAGCTTGTAAAGACTTCTTCCTGAGATGTTTGAGAATTGCTGCCAGTCAGAGTGGACATTACTCAGCTGGATGGGACAATGGTCCGTAGAAGGCAACTTCCTATGTTCATAAGTGCTTTAAGTTCAATTTAGTTAAGTCCCACTCTTCCAAATTTCATATTGCTATTCAATACAGAACTGCACATTGCAAGTGACATTTCTTGGGCCACTGCTGTGGGGAAGAATGCACACTATGCATAAGGGAGAGGGTGAAACATTGGCATGGGGCAACCAATGGGGACCTATGTGAGCAATGAGTTAAAAGAATACCATCGTATTTGAGAACTGCATAAATTGCAATGGCACCAAGTAAACATGTGGGTGGGTGGTACTCAATTAGAACATTACAGCGTTCATTCAGAATGACAGTGTTATATGGAAAGCCCAAGTAAACAATCTGCTCCTACTGCTTATGCTTCATAAAAGTGGCAACATTTAGGTGTATTACAAAAGTCTCTAGTTTCTAGTTTCCTTGCTCAAAATACATTTTGTTGAAACCCCGAAACCTGAAGGCAGATGTTTGGATGAAATGCAAGTTACTTTCATTCTTTCCACTGTATAGAATCACTTGTAAGGGTTCATTGTGATCTGGATAAAGCGGCTTAATGAGACTTTATCTTCTCATAGAGACTGGGCAATTATTTATAGGAAGCTCATTGACCTTACTGTTTGAAATAACCTGAGTACTGCATTTCCTTTTAAAGCTACCTAGGAACTGAAAGTCATTTTTGCAATTCCATCTTGCTCCTTTCCCTTAATATCTTAGGAGAAGCCGAAGACAAGATGTGAAGCATGGAAACCCTATGACTCAGTGCCGAGGATTTAACCTAAAAGGTAATTTGAACTGAAATATGACGGGCTATAAACACATGTGGTCATTCTTATAAGTGAATCATAATATCCCTGTGGCTTAGTGGTAAAAATTAGTTGAGTACCCATGTATTTTTAGCATTCCTTTCTCCTTTTCATGTGCTATGTTTGTTTGGGAGATTTAATGTTGATCTTTTTAAACAACAACAATGCAAGAAACAAAAGGTTTGATCCGGAGACAGTCTATGACAATAATATTGTCTCAGTATGGTATCACAGCATCACAAATGAAGATACATCCATGGTCACATGGAGTACAGCTGCTGTTATTTTCCTTAGTGTTTCCATTTTTTTTGGGGGGGGGGAGTAATTAATACTGTAAGGAAGGAGGTCCTTGAGATACTGCAATTGGCAACTTTTTTTTAAAAAAAAAAATTGGATTTCCTCCCAAAAAGGTAAATCCAGAATAATGGTTGGGAAGTACGTCTGGATAATATATTCAAAGTTAGGATCAGCCATTTTTAGAGACCCCCATTGCTGTTAAAGGTGACCATGAGAGGCTCCTTCTCTAAGGCTCCCAAAAATCCTGGAGTGGTCATTGGAGGAAGCTACAACAAAATTTAAATGGACAAATATGAAAACAAAAATCACCATTTACTTTTATTGTTCAAAGTCTATGGTTTTCTCTCCCCAGCCTTGGGTTTTAACTGTGATGCTTAACCCGTGCTTGATCCCATATTTAAGAGTATATAAAGCTGTAGCATTTTGACTTTAATGAGCACAAATTTCTAAAAATAGAATGCCGGAGGCTGCTAATGATTCCACAAACATTCTGTTCACAAAGACAATTAGGAATGCTAAATTACTGTTGGCTTCCAAAATATTTAAAATTAAAAAATAAATAAATATTTTTTACTAAGGATGTACCAAAAGCCTGGCTCTGGATACATCTGGAACAAAATATCTTCCCACCCTTCTGTTTGTGCTGTTCTAAGCTATTCCTAACCATTTCTGGATACTACAATCCAGTACATGCATATATTGTCCCCCTAACTATGATTATATATACCATCCTTCATCTTAAATCTCCCCCTCCCCATGATTTGATTTAACCACAGTGAAGAATAGGATCCATGTTGGTGACCATGGTTAAAGCAAACCAGGATGCAATGGTAAATGAACTGTGAGTTCATGAGTTGAAGTGGATTTGCATACCATAGTTGCACGTAATCATGTTGCTTTAATCATGTTTATACTAATATCAGCTAAGATCAATTAGATACAGGTTCAATGCCCTACTCAGCCACGAAGCCAGTCACTCTCATCTCAGTCTAACCCACACCACAGGGAGTTTCTGAGAGTAAAAAGGATAAGATTTGGGGTGGGTGGGTGTGAAACATAGCTTCTTGGAAGAAGAACAGGATAAAAATGTAATCTATCAAGCAATTTTAAAAATAAATGGTTAAAGCAAATAATGGAAGAGTGAATTTTTGTGGAAAAAGGGTGATCAGGAATGATTTGTCTAAACTGCACTATTATGAAGCCTGAACAACTCAGTGGATATTTTGCATTTCAGTTATCTGGTATACATTTGGAATGTAGGCTAGGATATTTTAACATCTAATTATGTGGTCTACTACCAGCTCCATCCCACTCACAGGGGCAGAGTTGGAAATGGGATCCTGAATTAGTCCAGGTGACTAAACCATCTATTGTAGCCACGCTATTAATAGAATAAAATAGCATTTTCCTAAAACAGCTCCAGTTCTATGTTTCTGCCCCAGATTTCTTGCTCTTGAATATTGTCTGCCTGAGATCCTCCTTGTTTCAGGTGTGATCATGCACTTCCCGGTTTTATAAACAGTGCAATGCATTTCCAAGTCAAGAGGAAGCATAATTCTCATCTGGCCTCTCTCACATTCCAGCTTACCGCAATGCAGCAGAGGTAATTCAGTACGGAGTAAAGAATAACACCACCTTCCTTGAGTGTACGCCAAAATCGCCACAGGCCTCCGTTAAATGGCTCTTGCAGAAGGACAATGACAGAAGGAAAGAGGTGAGAAATTCACTCAAAAGCATTGGAGGGTTGAAGGCAAGAGGGTGCACTCAACTGGGAACCCTGAAGACAAAGGCTGGGTCTTCTGTTCATATAGAATATTCTCTCAAGTTACGCCAGTTCCAAAGGCCCATGGCAGTGTAGCATGAAACTTAAAATACAAGGCACCAAACTCATCTGAGTTGCTGAGACTCTAGACCAGGGGTCTGCAACCTTTAAGACAAAAAGAGCCACTTGGACCGAAGAAAAAAAAACTGGGAGCCGCAAAACCATTGTGACATTTAAAACAGCGGGGAGTGTCGGGGCACACAATGCGCCTCCTCCCCTCGCTAGTATCCGCCCCGGAGCCGCGGCAAAGGTGTAAAAGAGCCACATGTGGCTCCGGAGGTGCGGGTTGCTGACCCCTGCTCTAGACATACAACCAGCATATACCCACAACCAGCACAATATCTTTTTAAACTCTTTCAAAGCAAACACTTTCCCTCAATGTAATAAACTTTTGTGCATTACTTTCACTAATATAAACATTTTTGTATGCACTTTCCTCAAATAGATAGATAATTCGGGTATGCATTTTTGGTTGGAGACCCATTTCACAAAATTGTGTTTTGGTTTGGGAAATGCAAATTGATCGCTTTGCAAAATAAATAAATAAATAAATAAATAAATAGAATTATTCTCCTCCCACCCGGGGCATCCTCTTATCACTAAATGTGCTTAGCCTTATAACACTGAAATCAGTGGGGACTTGGCTTTGGCTGGATCCTGCCTTCTGTATGCAGCATGGGAATGTCTCCAGCAGTTAAAACGTGCTGCCAATCTGAGAAAGGAACAACAGGCGTAACAGAGGAGTTAAGTCTGAGGAGCCGGGAGAGAAGATGATATGGAAAGCTTTTGTAGCAAGGATTTAGCCTGAACTAAAAATACTCACAGCAACAAGAATTTTCCTGACTGTTGTGTAATCAGATTTTCCATTACTGTCCTTTCCAAAGCTCTCAAATTTCAGCTCTTATGATATACAGTGCAATTGTGTATATGGATCCAAGTTGGATCCATATTTATCCTTCCTTAAATAAATAAAAAATGAAATTATTGCTATTTACAAATCTCAGGCAGTGTCTCCGCAGGAGGAAAAATGCTCCTGTTCTTTGTGAATGAACCTGTCTGAATAATAGCAAGCAGAAAGGGGTGGGGAAGATGTGGCCCTCCAGATGTTGTTGGACTACAACTCCCATCATCCCTAACCACTGGTCCTCCTAGCCAGGGAATATGGGAGTTGTAGTTCAACAACAGCTGGAGACCCAAGTTTGAGAAACACTGGACTACAAATTCCGTCACCCCTTACCGCTGGCTAGGCTGCCCGAGGCCAATGGCAGCTGAAGTCCAAAAATGTCTGGAGGGCTCTAGGTTTCCCACCTCTGCTTTACACCCCCAGTTTGAAATTGCCTTCTGGAAAATGTGTTTTTATGGTTTAAGCCTCACCAGTGAGGTATGTAGTTGTGAGTTCAAGTCCCATGATTTTCCTGACTCGCCAAGACATGAGCTCTGTGTTGTCAACTTCTTTCTAATGGCCTCTGTGACACACAGAAATACAACATGAGAAACAGTATGTTCCAGGTCTTAAGTTTTCAGTGGTGGCTCCCTGCTTGTGTAATGTTCTCCCTGGGGAGGCTCGCCTCTGCGCCGTCTTTACATATCTTCAGCTGACAAACCAAAACATTCCTTTTTAACCAAGTTTTTAACCGTCTTGGCTTTTAACCACCAGGCCTTTCTGCTCGGGTGAAATCTTTTAATGTACGATTTTAATGTTTGTTTGCTTAAAATATTGTAAGTCACCCCAAGTTGCAGGGCACAAAAGTGACTAATAACTTTAATAAATAATAATGAGGATGTAAAAACAAGACTAAACTTATTTGTTAATAATATTAAAGGCACTGCTGTGTTTAATAGCTCTCCCTTAGAAATACATTTCAAGGAGGGTTCTCTCTGTCTAGTGGAAAGAAAATGGCTTGCGTGGCTTGTATATCTTGTATATCTAGATAAATATGGATTTTTCTTTATTATACTGGTCATATTCAAACCCATGACATTAGAGCACATGCTGTCTGTCTGTCTTCTAGGTCAAACTTAATGAAAGGATCATATCAACCGAACAAGGGCTCTTGATTCGCTCTGTCCAGGATGCTGACCGAGGGCTTTATCACTGCATTGCGACGGAAAATGGCTTCAAGCAAACGATAGCAAAGGTGAACTTCAAGGTGCTAGATTCAGACACAGTGGCCTTCATGACTGAAAAGTGGTCCCCGTGGACATGGGCTAGTTCACTCCAGTCTCTGCCCTTCCATCCAAAGGACTTGGCGGGAGCCTTCAGCCACTCGGAACTGCAGATGATTAATCAATATTGTAAAGACACGAGGCAACTTGGCCAGCAGGCCGAAGATTCCCAGAAGATGAGAGGGGATTATGGCAAGTTGAAGGCTCTCATCAACAGCAGGAAAAGCAGGAACCGAAGAAATCAATTGCCTGGATCCTAAGGTTTTGTCCTGGAGCATCAAACTTTTTTTCATACCCTCCCTCAAGGGATTTTTGGGGGGGGGTTTTTGGGGGGGTGTTTGTTTTCCTGCTGAGAGCATAGACAAAACATTAGCAAAGCAAGCCCGAAAAAAGATAAAAGATCACGAAATGCAACCTACATAAGCTAAAGAGGAGGGCAGGCGGGAAACCACAAATCCAAAGAGATTTATTTGTGAAGTGCCCACTGACACCAGATAGATCCTTAACTTTAACACCATATGGTTTGCCTTAACCCACTTTCTTGCATGACGTTTAGATGCCATCTTTCTCTTCCTGAGAAGGGACACAGAAATAGACACGCCAGATCTCAAACTTGGTGGCAAAGCAAAGGAAGCGTTTGGGTTAAGAGGGATGTACTAAGTGTTGTACGAACGTCTCTTCCATATATGTCTCTGTTTATAGTACATTGCATTGAAAAGCTCTGAAGCAAGCACTTAAAAGTCCGTTTCTCATATTAGTATTGAAAACACAGCTCAGGGCTTCTCAAATGTAACGTGGGAGCGGTAATGATTATATCTCGTTCCCTCTTAGTGGGGTGCATTACATGTACAGCTCACTCCCAATCTTTTTTGACATGGTAAACTCTCTGTCATGTGACTCTATTGCTTTTAAATATTTTTTTTTCTTCCTCAGAAAGCTTCAGTGCAGCTTACCTTTGGATTCCCAGTCCAGGGACAGAACTGCTAGGTTTCAGGAGTCAAACTGTGCTATGTGTTATTTGATCCTTATGTAGCCAGTTAATTGTAGGCAATGAATATACTTTATGAATGCAAGAACAGAGCACTGGCAGGTACTATAACTTTTAAAACCAGGATAAAATCACATGGGCTGTAGAGGCAGGTGGTGTTGAGCTGCTATTAGTAGTCCTGTGCCCTTTGGTATTTCAATTTTTGGGGGGCATTTGCCTTGGGAAACCAGCAAAGGTGGGTGCAGGAGGGCAATAGGACCAAAGTTAAGCACTTTTGAGGCTGCAATCCACACTTACCTGGGAGTAGGGATGGGGGAGGAATTTGATTCAGTTTGCATTGAACGGAGAAGTTACCTAATTCACACTTTCAGAAGCCATACACAGGCATCTTTCAAAGTTTGCACTTCTCACAATTTTGCAATGCAGTTCTACAACCAAGTAACGCATACAAATGCATAAATTCACCCATTCCTATCTGAGATTCAGTCCTATTGAACTCAGTGGAGCTGTGTTTTGGCAATGTTGTAATTTTGATGACTCCAGCAGATTTGGAGATTGAACACATTAAAATGAGGGAGGGCAGACTTCAGGTTTGTGGGATCTACCTTATTTTCTTACTGGGACACTGAGACGCACCAAGTGGATCCAGAGGTAAAGGATTAGAGTTAAAAGAGCCCAGGAATTTGTTTTGAGTAACAGAACTGAATAGAGCTCACAGTCCTCCTATTCAAAAACTCACTTGGTCACTCCCTTTTACTCATGTCAGCAGTATAATTTTAAGAGGAAAGTAATTTTGTTGTTGTCATTGTTGTTAAGCAATGGAGTGTCAGAAATCCTTGCTGATCTGCTTCAAATCACCCACTGAACTACCGTCTGCCCACCCCTGTATCAAAACACACCCACCTCTCCCCTCCTTTGTGTATTTGAATGAGGGGAGGGGAGAGATAATTTTGAAGTTGAAAACTTCTATGAGACTTTATAGAATTTACAGCCTCCATTAGGTAAGCACGTTTGTTTAAGACCACCACCATTCTGCCGCCATTTTAGACTCTTTCCTTCTACCTTCAAATAACTTCTGTCAACCAGAGGTTTTGCTCTTCTCCCAGTGATCATGAAGAAACCACTTCTGCCAAACTACATCATCTGCCTTTCCAGTCTTCACAGCTCCTCAGTGCATTCCAGCCTTAGACATGACACCCAAATTGTCAATTGGAAAGCACAGGACTGAGGTGCGCCTGGTGCGTCTCATGAGATGCTATTGAAAGCAGAATCCACATTGTGTGTTGCTCTCCTTTCCCTTGCAACATTTAGGGACACTAAACCATGGCATGATGGGACATGGTGTGTGTGTATAAAACTATACAATGTCACAGAGACATCCAAGTTACAAAACCAAATATTTTGGGCCTTCACGAAATGAAGCTACCTCCTGTAGTCTGAACGCTGGTCCTTTATAGGTCCTATTTTCTGAGTGCTGCAGTTACTTGTTTGGCTTTTTTCTTCTTCTACCAAGCACATTCAAAGTACAGTTGATACAACATTTAATATCATTTATAACGTAATTTCTTCCAGATGAAGGACGGCAGCTGATAAGCTTTCAAGGGCACAATTTATTTCTCTTAACAGCCAAGTATGGTTGTATCTGACTAGGCGCCCATTAGGCCCGAGGAATGACAACAGTTAACATGCTTTATTAAAAACAAAATGTTGGCAATATGTGTGGTTCAGTTAACAAAATCAGTAGAGCTTTCTTTTCCATAATAATATTTTTAAAGCTGCTTTATATATAGTTACAATGGTATGACTGTTTAAGGGATAAAACAAACATTTTCCCCACACACCTGCTGCATGAAAATGTATGTATCTAGATAAAGACCTTTTATTGATTTGTAGCCACTCCAGCCTTCCAAGCTGCAACAGATCTCCAGCATTTATGAAATCCAGGTCTTCAGCTAAATATAATCATTATAGATGACTGTGAAATAGTTTACACTAGATGGCAATAATGTGTCTAAGGCTTTGTTCACCCATTCTGCTTACAGTAGCCTGTGGAGCAGAGCAACCCCAGGGTCATGGAAATAAACCAAATGTCCTGCTTGGAAGCCAGTCTTGGGCTCATGCTAGCTTCCTTCACCATCTTGTACGAGGCAAGGCCTGCTTGCTTGGCCCAAATCTAGTAACGTGTTTATCCCTTTTTGTCAGAGATAGATAGCAGGAGTAAGTCTTATATGTACATATGGTAGGTAACCCAAGGTATGGGCATGGCCGCAACCCATTCATAATTTGGGTTGCCTTTTCCATCTCTACAAGATCTCCTTTGATATGTGGTGACCAGATCTGTATATAGTATTCCAAGTGTTGTCACACAATGCATAGCTATGTATAAAGGTATTACAGTATTGCCGGATTGATTTGTAATCCTTTTCCTAATGATTCCAAACACGGAATCCACAGCTTCCACACACTGGGTCAGTCTTTTCAATTAAACTGCCAACCACGACCCCATCAGTGGATATGTGGAATGAGGATTTTTTGGTGCAGTGTGCATGACATTGCCCTTGCTTGCCTGGAACTACATTTGCCATTTCATTGCCTGTTTGCTTAGCTTGGAGAGATCATTCTGGGGCTCTTCACAATCCACTTTTGTTTTGACCACCCTGAATAAGTTGATGCCACTGCAAAAAAATGGTCGTGTGACTGTTCATCCCTCACTTCAGATCATTTATGAACAAGTTTAAAAAGCAAGCGGAGGATTTCCTACATCCCTTTATTATGGGAACTGGCCATTTTTCTTGCTCTCTGCTTCCTCTTCTTTAACAAGTTACCATCAACACATGCCAAATGGAAAGAAAACCAGACCTTTCATTTTTTGTTCTGTTCCTAGCGAGTGTGTACACCATCCCACAAAGACGCTTCAAGCTGGAGTCCCACTGGAAGCAATTGAACTGAACTCACGTGATGATTAATTTGTCATTGTTCTCATTGGAATTAAGGGTAACGAACCTTAGGAATATTTGGCCTTTTCCGTCCTGAGACCCTACCACCAGGTTGACCTCCGAACACAGAGTTGCTAAAATGTGATGAACAAACCTATTTTTTACATGTACAGGGTAGTTTCCGTTAGAGTTTTTACATGTTCAGAGTTTATCCCCCTATACATAACATGAACACTTATGTTTATAATATTGGTTTGTTTGTTTGTTGTTATTTAATGTCTTCCTGTTTTGAGGATACTGACAAAAGGGTTGTATCCAATGGGTTCTATGACTTCCCCTTCCTCTCCTCTTCCTGAACACACCCAAAATCTGCTCTATCGGGGGGGGGGTCTGCAACTGTTTGGAGCAGATTTTGAGGGTGTGAAGGGGGCTTCAGGGAAGGGGAAGTTCTGTTGTGCACGTGGAACTCTGCTGCATGAACAGAAAAGTGGCATTGGAAGCAACCCCCTGTATATATTTGCATTTGTTTAAAAAATGTTTTAAATGCCGTCTTCTGGTCATAACTTTGCCAAATGTAAAGAAAGTCAATACTATTCATCGGTGTGTACGAAATTTGTTTTATGACGCCTTTGTTGTCGTTTGTAAAGTTGGATTGAAATCTTCATTCAACCATGTGTTCTTTGTGATAATTGCTACTGTAGATATGTGTATTTCATTTTTTTAAAAAAAAAACAGCCACCCCTTTTTTTCAACCAAGTATGGTAATGTGTACAAATTTAGCATGATGAAACCCATTACGGTGAATACTCAATAGCCCTTGGATTAAAAATAAAAGTAACACAATACTATTTAACTGAATATCCCAAATGTTATTTGCCTGAAAAATAAAGGGTGTTCGATCAATTTTATGAATGGTTTTCCATGGGGGGATATGGGGGGGTCATTGTAGGGGAATATGTACCGTATTTTTTGCACCATAACACTCACTTTTTTCCTCCTAGAAAGTAAGGGGAAATGTCTGTGCGTGTTATGGAGGGAATGCCTACGGGTGGCATGCCTACGGGTTTTCCTCCTCTAAAAACTACGTGCGTGTTATGGTCGGGTGCGTGTTATAGAGCGAAAAATACGGTAACTCTTTTGCTAGAAACATTTGACCACATGTAATACAGAGCTGAAAATGAGACAGAAATTATGTTCTTAATTTGTTCCAATGGATGGTGGCCAAACAGGACCCAAGAGGCTAAAATCCATTTGGAAATAATCATTTTAAATCCCTCAACAGAAGACTAGTGAATGCATTTCAGATATAAGCATAATACCAAAGAAAAAAGAAAAGTACATTATGCGGTGATGAATCTTGGGTAAGGGAGAAATGATGCACAGCATATGCAAATAATGATTATATGGAAATGCAAAATAGAATATGAATATGATTTTAAATAGTACTCTACTCAGAAGAACAGGAGGTCTTTAAGCAGAGGCTTGACAACCATATGTCAGGAGTGCTCTGATGGTGTTTCCTGCTTGGCAGGGGGTTGGACTCGATGGCACTTGTGGTCTATTCCAACTCTATGATTCTATGATTCTATTCTATGATTCTAACAGTATGCCAGATTAAAATTAACTACTACTTAACTCTCTATTGCCAAACATCTCAGAAACCCTTTGCTCCTCACCGATTGCTTCCCTTTAATTCCTCCTTTTATCACAACGTAACTTCTTTCTATTAGCAAATGAAAGGCCACGGGGTAAACATCTGCAGAAACAGCTTTCCATTGGTGGACATGGTCCCAAGTCTTATTGGGATACAGGGAGAGGCATGAAGGCCACTCAGTGCTGCTAACCACAGGAAGTAACAAATATTGCACCTTCATCACACTGGTGCATTATCTTAGCTTGATTAAGGCCTTGTCAACATTTGTGCTTCTCACACAGTCCAGACTGAAAAACATTTCTGCCTTCAAGATAGGCATTCAGGCCTATTTCAGTCATGAGCCAGAGTTTATGCTGTTTTCCTGATGCTTCCAAACCTGACAAATTCTGTGTTTTATGCCACCTTTCACATGATGCAAAAGCCAGCCCTGGAAATCTAGTGCAGGTTTAGAATTCATTTCTGTGTTAATTGTAAAAATATATATTAAAAAAATCCATTTGCAAACCAGCTAACTTGTAAAATTCTAGGAGTTTTGCATTGTAATTTCATGTGATAAACTATGAGGTAGCATACACTTCTTTCAAACTGTTCAAAATTAGCTAGGACATGGCAGCATATCAGTCAAAAAGCCACAGTTCCATAATGTGAGAGGTACGGCAAAGGGAATGTTAGAAATTGGGACAGAAGCACTAGCATTAAAAGTAGGGAAACTAGCACAATAAACCCCACGTTTGAATACAGTCTAAGTTATCATGGCAACTGAATCAAATATTAGAGGCTTCAGGCTAAGGAAGCAACCAAACACCTTTATAACTTGCCTTCTTCCTCAGTCTTTTGTGTTCTGCATAGAAGCTGTCAGTTTTCAAAGAGAAGTAGTTATTTCCTAACAGGTCTGTGGAATCAATTGATGTACAATCAGGCTTTTTTGTGCCCAATGAGAAATTAAAGGCTGAGATGGAATTTGGAATTTGGGGAAGCAAAGAAAATTGGTTCAACTCAAAACTGCCTTACGAACAAGTCAACTAAGGGATTGCATTTGTGTCTCAGGGATTGGCACTGGAGTCAATGTACAGAGCAAATAAGCATTTTGTGAGCACTTCGAACTGTATCCGCTTCATTAAATCAGATCCGAATGCCAGACTTAAATACGAACCAGAAGATACCTTGGCCCTTGCATTAAAGGAAGTTGTAGGCCTAACGTGTAAAGCCAAGGGGGATTTGAAACAAAACTATACACTGCTAAGTACACTAGAACAAGTTGAAACATGCCAACTGGCACAAATTAAAAGATGCTTAAACCTTGGCAAACATATTTACCATATTAAGAGATTATGTATACAAGGGTGTCAAGAGGAAATTGACAGCTTGTAGCAATAAAGGAAAATTACATATAGAGTTAAACCTCAGCCTCTTGCTTGTGGTGGACAGTCTTCTAAGCATCTTGGCCTCAGATCTGTTTTACTCAGGACCTAGCCTCTGGCCTCTGCTTGCAACTCATTTCTGGACTCTTTCCACATCAAACACTGATCTTCCTCTTTGGAAGAGGCAAGATTGGGGGGGGGGGAGAATGCAGGCTCTTTGAGTCAGAAGACACCCATGTCTCTTTTTCTCTTTGCATTTAATGCAAATGTTGCAGAAATCCCATCAAAATGGCATAATATTAAAAAGGTTTGTCCTTTTTAAAATACACAATGCAATAGAAAACTCAGCCCAGGGTAGTATATCTTTTCCCACCAACTAGGACTAGCTCTTCAATACCCCTGAAAAAGCAGTGACGTAGCCATTGTGTTCTGTGCTCTGGTAAGTTTCATACTGGATTGTTGCAGTGTATGTGGGGTTGCCTTAAAGATGATTCAGAAACTTCATCTTCTCCAAAACGTGGCAGCCAGACTACTGGCCAGGGTTCTATTTAGGATTCACGAAGCCCCTGCTTTATAACAGCTGCACTAGTTGTCAGTACATTTCCTGGCCTAATTCAGGATGTGTAATTAGTAATTAAAGCCCTAAATGACTTGGGCCTCCTTCCCTACAGACGCTCTGAAGTGTTGAGATCAGCAGTGGGAGCTTCCCAGTAGTTCCACCACGCTTACAGGTTTTGGGGGTGGCCACTCAGGAAAGGACATTCCCCGCGGCAGCCGCTGAATTCCAGTCTGGCACCTTCACTATGTAGCTTTCATTGTATACCGAAGATGTTACCCTGACCTTTGACACCTGATATATACAGTACATTTTAGGGTCCACCCTGTTTCATTGCATGCAATCTGATTTAACCGTTTTTAATCCTGCATTTTTAAATTGTTGTAATCTGTTCTAGGATCTCATCATGAAGGGCAGCTGAGAAATCAAATGAATTAATCAATCCGGGGGTGTTTCTCTTGGGATAAAGCTGCAATGGCGTGTTAATTGTGCTGATTCTCTAGGATTATTTCACCATCTCCACCAGAGTTAATCTTTCTAATCAGGCGCAGCTGTGCAAAACCAAGATTAGCAAGGGAGAGGTGGATGTAGGAAAGCTCAGCCAACTCCCCAAATGAATTCTGTTCAGTGCCCAATCGGATTTGTCCCACGCAGTTTCTCATCAGATGCATATAATTGCTGAGGCTCTTACCCCACCATTCCCAAACCCTTTGGAGCAAAAGACCACTACTAATTCGCAAAAGTTTCTCACAGATGACCATCTGTTTCCCCCTATGACCAGCTTGCTAAATTAGCAGCTCCTCAACCTCAGAAATTCTGCTGGTGGACATTCTGTACATTTCCCTTTAGGAATCAAACCACAGTGCAACTGTTCGTGTTAGCTGCACTGTTGCATCTTAGGGGTCCCATCACTAATGCTGGACAAAGCCAAGGTAGGCTGTAGTCCTTGATCTCAACCAAAGACCACACTTCAAGTCCACTGTTTACAGCATAGCAGCCAATGCACACAAGACGTATCCAGGCATAATTCCAGCAAGGCATCCATGTTGTTCTTCATATGGGCAGGTTGTGTGGTCATGGGAGTTAAATAGTTTATTGTGGCCTGCACCTTGCAATTCGTAGTCAAAAGATGTATGAACCACGATGCCCACCAAATTCACGATTATTGCTACCAAAGCCCATTACCCAGCTATATCAAATGAATGCACTGGTGGTATAGAGAATCATCACTGCAGTGGCAGGCTCTGTCCCCTGAACTACACATCTTCATTTCAGCGGTTGAAGTGAGCCTATGAACAAGTGTTTGCCAAGCGCATGCACACAGATGTGATGCAGCCTGTCTCCATGGTGCCTTCAAAGGTCTGAAAGCCTGTTAAGGGGCTCAAGCGTAATCATAATGTGTCTCAGAGTTAAATATTTACTATACCACATGACATATGCAACCTCTGGTCCTTCCTTCTCAAATCTGATGCTCTGCCTAGTCCAAGAGAGGACAAGGCAGGAAAGGTGGGTCTCCTGTGCCACACCACAGCCACTTCTGTCTACACTGGTCTTTGTCTTTCGTCAGAGGAGGAGGAAGAACAGCATCACAGTGTGGAATCCCAATGTACAGGAACACAGAGCCACAGTGAGCAGGGGTTGCATGCCAGAAGGCAGCCTCTGATTTTAAAAACTCTGCCTATAGAAAAATAGCAAGCCAGGTCCTTTGCCTGGTCACCACATGCACGTTTTCCACATTCAATGAGATTTTTTTTTAATATACAGGAGGAGTCAAACATGTCATCTCTTGCCTCTTGCAGGCTGAGATGACAAGTTGTACCTTGTACAGTAATTCTGCTGTTTGGGTGGAGCCTGGCACCTCTTAGCTGCTGGCCTGTCAGGAAACAAAAGTAAGGAAACAAAAGATCAAGGGAAGTAATAGTGCCACTGTATTCTGCTCTGGTCAAACCTCACCTGGAGCACCACAGTTCAAGAAGGACACTGACAAACTGGAACGTGTCCAGAGGAGGGCAACCAAAATGGTCAAAGGCCTGGAAACGATGCCTTATGAGGAACGGCTAAGGGAGCTGGGCATGTTTAGCCTGGAGAAGAGGAGGTTAAGGGGTGATATGATAGCCATGTTCAAATATATAAAAGGATGTCACATAGAGGAGGGAGAAAGGTTGTTTTCTGCTGCTCCAGAGAAGCGGACACGGAGCAATGGATCCAAACTACAAGAAAGAAGATTCCACCTAAACATTAGGAAGAACTTCCTGACAGTAAGAGCTGTTCGACAGTGGAATTTGCTGCCAAGGAGTGTGGTGGAGTCTCCTTCTTTGGAGGTCTTTAAGCA